AATTGAAGAGCAAATATATTTTATTGTAAAAAGTACAAAAATTAAATGGACTCTTAATATTTGTGCAAAAACTAAAACCCCTTATATAATGAAACAGAGGGAGTATAAGATAATTAGCTTTTACAATCAATAGTCACGATTCCTTATTACCTTCGAGTTCATAAAATCTAGATTTAAATTAATTTATGGGTGATTTGCTATAATAACCCACAAAATATTGTAAATAGCCAAAATAGCCTATCAAGAATTTTGAAGATTTTATAAAAAATTTTACACAATTATCCTTTTAAAGTCTTCCAAACTTACTCGCAGACTCGGATTTTCTTTTGCTAGTCTGCTATTTTTTTGGCAGACTCAACGTATTTTTGGTAGACTCTATATATTTTTTCGTAGACTCTGTCAAGCTTTGACAAACTATACCAAAATCTTCCAAATTTACTAGCAGACTCGGATTTTATTCTGCTGATCTTCCATTTTTTTGTGGATTCTGCATATTTTTAGTAGATTTAAATTTCAGTCTGCTAATCTGTTATTTTGTTAGCAGACACTACATATTTTTGGTAGATTCTGCGTCTTTTTTGTAGACTCTGTCAAGGTTTGGTAGAGTATACCAAAGTCTTCCAAAATTTACTAGCAGACTCGGATTTTAAATTGCTAGTCTTCCATTTTTTTGGTGGATTCTGCGTATTTTTGGTAGATTTAAATTTTACTTTGCTAGTCTACTATTTTATTGGCAGACTCTACGTATTCTTTGTAGACTTTGTTGAGGTTTTGGCAGACTACGTCAAAGTCTTCCAAATTTACTGGCAGACTTGAATTTTAAACTGCTAGTCTTCCATTTTTTTGGTGGATTCTGCATATTTTTGGTAGATTTAAATTTTACTTTGCTAGTCTACTATTTTATTGGCAGACTCTACGTATTCTTTGTAGACTTTGTTGAGGTTTTGGCAGACTACGTCAAAGTCTTCCAAATTTACTCGCAGACTTGAATTTTAAACTGCTAGTCTTCCATTTTTTTGGTGGATTATGCGTATTTTTGGTAGACTTAAATTTTACTTTGCTAGTCTGCTATTTTATTGGCAGACTCTACATATTCTTTGTAGACTTTGTCGAGTTTTGACAAATTACATTAAAGTCTTCCAAATATATTAGCAGACTTGGATTTTAATCTGCGAATCTTCTACTTTTTGGTGGATTCTGCATATTTTTGGTAAATTTGACTTTTACTCTGCTAATCTGCTATTTAATTAGCAGACTCAACATGTATTTGGTAGACTCTGCATAATTTTTTGTAGACATTGTTGAGATTTGGCAGATTACATCAAAGTCTTTCAAATTTACTAGCATATTCAAATTTCAATATGCTAATCTTCTAATTTTTTTATGAATACTACATATTTTTGATAGACTTGAATTTTACACTGTTAGTTTGCTATTTTATTAGCATATTCAATATATTTTTGATAGATTTTACATATTTTTTAAGACTATGAGTTTTGGCAAACTACACCATAGTCTTCTAAAATTATCACTATAATTGAATTTTAATCTTCTAATATGATATTTTTCTGTGTTGTTTTGTTAATATTGGATTTTAGTTGATGAAATATTTTCTCGCAAAATTCAGAAAAAGTTACAAACTGAAATCTCATATAGTCAAACATTTTATAAATGTGCAAAAAAACAAAAATGAAAAGAAGTAGAATGGATAGAGAATCAATTTCAATGATAAATACCATAAATGAAAAAATTGAGTTCGACAAAAAAAATTGCTGTTAGACCAAATATACATTGCCATGAAATTTGATAAAATAAAAATAATCAATTGATTTGAAATTAAAAGTTATTTATTTCTTATTTTATTTTTCTTTTATTTATTTATTAACTAAAACTAATTTGTTATTGTTCAAATTAAATGAATAGTTATGTGTAATTTACAAAAACGAAATTAAAGAAATAATTATAGTTAAAAGGATAAAACTGGAATTATACATCACTGCTTAAATGATTAATAGGTTATATGAGTAATAAAAATATAAATAGGTTATTATAGCTATTTCTTATAAAAAAGAGGTTATATTAGGTGATTTTCTCTTAATTTATACATGTTTTTTAATGTAAGCGAAGAAGTTTATTCTTGTTTTTTTTTTCTTGTAGCCACACAACTTTGTGTTCTCGTGGCTTAAAGAGAAAAAGTTAGGAGTGAGTTAAGTGGGCTTGATCAATCACATAGCAAATATTTGGTGGCTTTATTGTTAACATCTTGTATAAGAAAATGGCGTAATGAAGTTGCTAACGCATATCCTGAAATCTTAGGCATAAGTAAGAAAACAATTTATTGACTTTCTTTATTTTTCAGAAACATTTCTATGTGATAATGTTTTTTCTCTTTTTACTAAGCAGTTGATACCTCAAAGAGCTATTTGTACGAGGAAACATGGAAATCATGTGCTGGACTTTCGGGTGATCTCGTAAAAACTGGAGAAAAAGTTTATTACTTTCCTCAAGGACAATTAGAGCAAGTGAGGGTTAATCTCTATATCTTCTGATTTTAATTTTCTCTTAAAATTATATTTTGTTTGTGAAATAACATTCTGCAATTTAATGGCATTTTAGTTAGAAGCGTCTACAAACCAAAATATGAATCATTTGAGGCAATTTAATGGTGATCTTCCGTCGAAGTTCCATGTCGTGTTAGTGGTTATCAGCTTGAGGTAATGGCCCATTACATAGATGAGCTACATTTGCTTAGACTGCATATAATATTTGATTATATTGTTGCTGATTTTTAGGTGGAAAAAGATACTGATGAAGTATACACAAGATTACTTTGATGCCGGACTCCATGGTGATGACAAAATTCAAAATTTATTTTTAATTACTTGCACATTTTTTAATCCCTTTTAAATGATTTTTTTTTTAATTTGCAATATCTAGAAAACTGCAATTCCTATTCCCAATAATGTCAACCGTCGATTGCCAGTAGTTCGTTCTTTCACAAAGGTCTTAACTACATCAGATACAAACGGACATAGTGGATTATCTGTGCTGAGAAGACATGCAACTGATTGTCTTCCTCCGCTGGTATATGCACTTTGTTTTTAATCGAATAAACTCATATTTCATTTTTCAAGCTTCCATATGACTTTTATTGATTTATTTCTTTTTTTAGGATATGTCACAATCAACACCGACTCAAGAGCTAGTCGCTAAAGATCTCAATGGTTATGAATGGAATTCAAACATATTTTTAGAGGCAATGAATCAATTATCTGATCAGTTATTAAAAAATAATAATAATGAAAATGATACTATGCGTATGTGTTTACTAATATTTGGTCTTCTATTTGTATGGAAACAATCTCATGCAGGCACACCCCAAAGACATCTTTTCAACCGGCTGGAATGTTTGTTAATGCAAAAAAATTAGTCGCCGGAGACGCTGTTGTATTTCTTCGGTAAATTTAATGGTTTTACTTCTCTCTTTTTTTTTTACTAGATTACAACTTAAACTATTATTTTTTTAGAGGAGAGAATGGGGAATTACGAGTTGGTATCAGAAGAGCTTGTGCATAAACAAAACAACATAGCTTCATCAACAGTTTCAATAGATACTATGTACCATGGAATAATTTCTACTGCAAAGAATGCTATTAATTCCCCTTGTATGTTCACTGTGGTCTATAAACCAAGGTAAATAAAAACATTTTGTTATTTATTGATATAACATGGAAGTAGTTTCTTCAATCATTGTGCTTACTATTATGGATCTTGATATGATATTAGGTCAAGCCAATTTGTCATCAGCTACGAAAAATATCTAGATGCTGTGAACAATAAGGTCAATGTTGGCTCGAGATTTAAAATGCGTTTTGAGGGTGAAGATTTAATTGAAAGAAGGTAAACCATATGAACATATTTTCTTTTTGTTCTTCTTTTCTTTTGGTTTGTTATCTAAAAAATTTTTTTATTGTTATTATAAAAGATGCTTTGGGACAATTAAGGATGTCAAAGATTACTCCCCTAATTGGAATGATTCAAAATGGCGATCAGTTGAAGTAAAATTCTCCTATCTCTACATTTTTTTTACATTTTCCAATCATAATAAATAACAATCACCAACTCTGTTTTACTAGGTACAATGGGAAGAACAAGCCGTAATTCCAAATCTAACAAGATTTCACCTTGGGAAATCGAGGATTTATTGCCTTCAACAAGTGTTTTCCAATCAGTTTGCTAAAAAACAAACGTCCCCGTCAAGATAATGAAATTGGTATAACACATCATAATCTTTTGTTAAATGAGTTAAAGCTTCTGATGAAATCTTTCATATTATAATTCTAAACTTCCTTATAAAAAAATTTATATTATAATTCTATTCATATAGGTTCAACATCGTTGAATCTATGGACTCCTACATTAACTCAAGGCCAAGAAATTGGACAATCGAGTAAGAGCTACCCAATAAGTGTTGCTCAGCTTAGTTATGATAACTCAACTGAAGATCCAAAGATTCCTTCTGGTTGGCTAATGAGCAGCTGCGAGGTCCCAACCATGCATAAACCAAACTACAACGACCAAATGATTATATCAGTGAAAGAGAATTTAGCCACTGATTTAACCACTAGTTGTAGATTGTTTGGAGTCAATTTGACGACTCCCTTGAAGACCAGAGATCTCTTGGGAGAAATTGACTCATACCAAAAATCTGAGATCTCAAACTCTCTGAAGAAAAAAAGCATGAACAGAACCAGACTATAGCTTCATCAAAGGAGGTCCAAACAAACAAATTAATTATTCCCGAAGTCGTACCAAGGTAAGGAGAATTTTAGTAATGTCTTTTACTATATACATACACCCGATTTAGAACTTAATTTACATTTAATTTTTTAGAAATTTATATATAGTGGGATTTATTTTTTATAGTTTAATAAGAACTTTCATACATTTGCTATGTTCGGTTTACATGATCTTTATATGTGTTTATTTAATAGGTGCAGATGCATGGTCTAAGTCTATGCAGAGCGATAGATTTAACTGTTCTTGATGGATACAATGCGTTGATGAAAGAATTGGACAAACTCTTTGATCTCAAAGGCGAGCTGTGTGCCGGCCATTTATGGGAAATAGTCTATATAGACAATGAAGGAGATATGATGCTAGTCGGGAACGATCCATGGCCGTAAGTTCTCCCTCTCCCTCTTTCCCCTAATGACTGCTAAATTTTGGAAATGAGTATTTGACTTCCATTTTTGTGTAGTGAGTTCTGCAACATGGTGAAGAAACTAATCTTATATTCAAAAGAGGAGGTTAAGAAAATGAAGTCAACAAACGATTCTTCTAAAGGTGATCAACTTTAAGAACGTTGATTTTTAATACATTATGATGCACCACTATATATCAAAACAAATATTTAGTTCTCCAACTAATTTTATATATTTCTTACTTATTGCTGATGTGTTTTTTTTTTTGGTTATATTTTAGGTGTTTAATTATGAGCAAGGAAAGATGGAAACAAGGATTTACAAATGTTGACTTATATCAATAGGAAAGAGAGTCAATAATGGAAGAGAATGTTTGGTAAAATATTTTATTTTGTTTCGTGTTTTAAAAAAAAAAAAATTCTTTTGTGTTATGGGTGTTTGAGTGTCTTCTTTTGTCTTTTTTTTATAGTGTTTGTCGTTAATGTTGTATGTGTCTGTTGTTTAAAAAAAATGTATGTGTCTATGTATTCACCATTTCTAAATTATTTTAAAAAACTTTTTTTGTTACATTACTATGCTTTCTTCTTTTACTATAGTATCTTGTTTTTAGTTTATTTTTAAGCATTTATTATCGTTTTTAAAAAAAAACAAATAAATATTATGAACAAATTAATCGTTAATACTAATAAAAATAAAGGCTCTTACTTTAATGTAGAGGTCTGCTGCCATAGTTGCGGCTCTTTACTTTAATGTAGAGGCTGCCATAGTTGTAGAGGTTGTGTGTCTATGTGTCTTTACTTATTCATGCATATGTGTCTTTACTTTAATGTAGAGGTTGCCATAGTTGCGATTTATATTTTCAATGTAGAATTTTAATATAATTTTCAAATTTTACCTATTCACTTATTGAATTAATAAAGAAATTAAATTCTGTAATGTACTAAATAGGGATATTGTAGAAATTTTAAATTGTTTTCTTAATATGTGTGAGAAAACCTTAAACAACACTTATTATGAAATAGAGAAAGTATTAAATCTTAAACAACTAATATTACTAGTACATATAAGCTTATTTAACACTAAGAAATTTTCTGAAATTTAAATATTTAGCTAAGACAAAACGAAAGACATGAAACAAAAAAAAAACACAAATGAGGAATAAAGAATAGCAAAAGCAAAGATGAATAAAGATAAATAAAAACAAAATAAGAACATAGAAGAAATCATTGTGAACAAAAAAAAGAAGAAAGAAGAAATCAAAATAGGAGAAATTGAAGAAGAATAAATAAAAGAAATTAAAAACATAGAAACAAGAGTGAAGAAAGAAATGAAACCAAATAATAACACAAAGAAGAAATAAAGAAAAGCGAAGACGAAAAAAAGCAGAACACAAGCAAGAACAAAAAGGACGAACAAAGAAGAGCGAAGACGTAAAAGAGCAGAACCGAAGACGAATCAAGATAAATAAGAAACCAAATAAGAACAAAGAAGAAATCAAAGTAGGAAAAATGGAAAAAGAATAAATAAAAGAACATTAAAAAACATAGAAACAAGAGAAAATAAGGAAATGAAGAATAACGATGTGCATCGATTAGCTTCTCTTCAAATAAATTTTATACCCCTAGAAATCCAACATAAATATAAGTATTAGCTAATCTATAATACTGGATTTTCTAGCTTAAATTTGTTCAGATGTACATTTTATTGTTTTTAGGTTTAGCTAGGTGTATCAAATAGTGAAAAAAATTCTACCTAAGATTAAAGAGATTTATACTAAACATATTTACAAAAGATAGTCATAAAGAATTTAAAGTGAAGAACAACCAATACATAGAATCTAGAGAAACCTAACATTTTGGATAGAAATAATTAACTATAGAAGAAATAGAAGAAAATGAATCAAGAAAAGCAAAAAGAAAAAAGTAAATGAAGAAATTCTAAGACGAAGATAGCAAAAGAACGGAAAAAAAAAACATACATAATATAAGGCTAAACTAGGAAACCAAATAAAAATATGAAATCGAAGAATATGAAATTGAAAGTTATGATTAAATATATTTTTATGACACATAAATTGAATTTATTATTACTAGACATTACTTATTATATGTGTGAATATGTAGTTGTACATTTCTAACTTAATTTTATCTATGAGTAGTTTACATTTTTAAGTTTGGGGCTTCATCCTAGTTTTATATAGTTGAGGAATAAAATTAGTGTTTTCCCTGTCATAGCACCAATTTTTTTTCAATAAAATCAGTGTCTTCAATCTTCATAAACCGTGAGAAAATTATTACATATTTGATTCGCGTGAGGCCCAAAATGAGGCAGACACAAGCCGGCGAGATTTCCATCCCAAAACAAGCCCATTATGGCCCAATTCATCCACTCTAAACCCTTCCTTAAACAAGCTCAAAAGGAGCTTTGCTTGACAACCGTTAGCAAAGCTCACGTTCATGGGTTTGAACCCATTACTCTCCAACCACCGATACCACGAAGCAAAACTCTCGACTTCCTCATCATCAGCAACGTCAGTGATACGCGTCAGCCAACCTGAAACCCACGGCCCAATGAAAACACGTTCAACAAATCCCCGGGCCGAGGTTTCCTCTAGAGAGTCGAATATGGCTGAGAACTGATGTAACAAGTCCATAAACTTATACAAGAAACCTTGGTTCCCCATCATACCAACTTCTTCGTGAACAAGCGTCACTAGCTTTGGGTTTAACGTTTTAGCTTCGGATAAAAAGGAAATGAAGGACTTGGGTACTGTTTGGTGGCTAAAACGAGGGAGATGCAACATGCAATTAACCACCACCGCTTCTCCTCTCACGAGCTTCACAGAAGAAGAGGTGAATGCCTCGTCGGTGTCGAGTTTACAATGGTGGTATGAAAAAGGCTGCCCGATAGACTCGGCGAACGCTGTTAGACGCCGTCCAGCTTCTTGCACAGCAGCGACCGATTTTTTACCATTCTTGGCTCGTGACAGAGCCGTGATCCTGAGATGTTGGGCCGATGGGCCTGAATTTCTAGATACCAAGGCTTGCATTAACGAGGCCCATTGAATACCTTCTGCGATATCGTAGTCAATGATATGGACTCGTCGCTCGTACTTCACAGCTTCAAGAATAGCTTGCGTGGTTGTTAGGTAACCAAAGTTGACGTACGGAGACATGTTTTGTAGCATTTGCAACGCCGAGATCACATCCGTCTGGTTATGAACGTCGTGGTGGCTGGGCCCCTCTCGTTCGAGCAACTTTGAAAGGCCGTTTGTGAAATGAGCAGCTAGTTTCTCCATGTTGGTTTGGTCATTGAGAGAACACAAGTCCTTTAGCCTTGCAAGTAGAACACGAGTTAGCTCATGGGTTTTACCGGCGCCAGCTGATGCCTCCGCAGCTGCCACCAGTAAGTGAACCAATCTCAAGCCTTTTGATTCATCATAACTTGGCTCTTCTACATCATCAGCCGTGGACAAACCCGTGGATGCTGAGTTACAAGCTCCCTCCTGACGTCCAAGATGACTAGGCAGCATTGGAGGAGGTTCAGTCGTGGCTCCTTCATCACTCATCATGGAGTCAATGAGATCGCGGAAGTCGCAATCCCAATCCATGTCAAGAGACCAATCATCATGTTCCACACAGGAGGAGGTGCTTGCGGCTGTGGTGGTGTTGCTAGAGAAGAAGAGATTCAGGAAGTCATCATAGGGATGATCCATGATCATTGACGTGGAAAAAACAAGAAACGGGCAATGCAAAACTATATAGATATTTTGTATGGTCATGTAGTGGGAACAAGGAAAAAATGGGTTTTTTTAAGGTAATCTTTGAAGCTTGAAGTCAAAGCTAAATGCATGGTCCCCTTGTAGGGGGATCGAAACCTATGTGGTCCATGGAAGAAACAGCAGGACCACTATATTTAAATGGGCGAACAAAACAAAACATGTAAAGACTTTTACTCCAATAATACTAATTTGACCATTTTGTGAAAATTAGTATTTTAAATTTTAGTTTGCGTTCATAAAGCTATTATGTTTTAACTTAGACAACAAATATTTATACTGTACATGACAATTTTATACTCTGTAATTGTATATGAACGAATATCAGTATACAAAAGCCGATAAATAGCCACCGCTTCTATGTAAATTGGTATTTTTTTCATGAAAATGTTAGTTTTTAAGAGTCAAGTTCGCCAAATAACTTTAATAAGAATCCATGATTATATTTTTAAAATCAAATCATCAACCTCCGATGGAAACTAATTAGTGACAATTTCAAGTTAAATAAAGGGTTTTGTGCAAAACAACCCTCAAACTAAATTCATTTTGCAAATCAAACCCTCAATTTAAAGTTGTGCAAATCAAACCTCTGAAGTCAAAATAACCCCGCAATATAAGACATCTCTATATTTGTGACAAAATTTAAAATGATTTTATGCAAAACAACTCGCGAACTATTTTTTGTGTGCAAATCTAACCTTCAACTTAAAAAATATGCAAGTCAAACCTGCAAAGTCGAAAGTCACTGCTAAAATGAACTTATATGTATTTGTCCATAACTACAAACGTTGACTCAAAACGTCATGACATTTATAATATTTTAACAATTTTTATTAAAAATACTTAAAACAATAATTCAATATTTCTTCTCTTTTTTCTCCATCAATAAGGAGAGGGTTAGGATTTTTAACCAAATCCAAAAAAACTAAACCGTAGCCAATCCAGAAAATCAAAACCGAACCAACTTACTCACAATATAGTTACTTGGAAGATCTGAAGTCCTATGTCTTTATGAGCCTCTCTCGAATAATTCTATTGCAAGTAAATTAGTTCTTATCTTTGTCTCTTCGTCGTCATTAGTTAATGAGATCATGAAGAAAAGAATCAACTTATTCGCGATAAGATTACTCGAGATAAATTTATTAATAAGAGGAGAAAGAGAAAGGAAATTAAAGATTAAAGTTTTTTGTTTTTGTTTTTTTTTAATTTACTTTTAATAAAAATGGTTAAAATATTATTAATGTCATGACGTTTTGAGTCAACGTTTGTAGTTAAGGACAAATACATATAAGTCCATTTTAGCAGTGACTTTCGATTTTGCAGGTTTGACTTGCATATTTTTAAGTTGAGGGTTAGATTTGCACATAAAAAATAGTTTGCGGGTTGTTTTGCATAAAATCATTTTAAATTTGTCACAAATATAGAGATGTCTTATATTGCGGGGTTATTTTGACTTCAGAGGTTTGATTTGCACAACTTTAAATTGAGGGTTTGATTTGCAAAATGAATTTAGTTTGAGGGTTGTTTTGCACAAAACCCTTAAATAAAAGTGTACGAACAATTTGTATATTATGAGAATGCATATTGCCAGATTTGCTGAGCAAGAGAACTTAGCAGAACCAAACAGAAAAGAACAAATAAAAAACAAGAAATTGTTGAAATTTGAAATCAAGTTTTGGTAGGTTTGAATTTTGCTGAAACACAGGGTAAGATACATCATTTTTTAGCTTTGACATATGTACATCTCTTTTTAGAAACTTTGAATATTATATACGATTACTAAAATTGTATCACCCTAAATTTTCAAAGATACAATTGTAGACTAAGCAAACACCAGAACTTATCACCGTAACCTTTGTGACATGTTTTTCTTTAGAAAGCAGCATAAGCAGTGACGCAATTTAGCAAGTCAGAAGTTGTTTTCCAGCTAAAATGTCACACTCAATCAGTCTCTCTCAACTTTGTGAATACACAATCATATTGTTAGAACCAAATCCTACACTCTCTAATAACACCAATAGAATTTATCCTTAATCATTCAAGATGCATCGTTTTAACAAAGTCATAGAGCATTTTTTCAAGGATTTAATATAAGCTAATAGGTTGATTTTGGACCTTGGCAAAGGATTAAGAGGGTAATCCTTTCTGGTTAACAGTAGCGTGAACTGTTCTAGCAGCTGCAACCGAAGAGTCTCCTCGTTTCACAATTTTCTCGAGCTCTTCCACTTTCCCTGACAACAATCTAGCATTTGTGGTGGTGGCTTGAACCAACTTGTTTGCAGTTTCCAGGGCTGTGCAAAGCTGTGAAATTCAACGAGAAGCAAGTAGTCGATTAATCTATTGAGATACTTGCATCGCCGAGCATTTAATTATAGGAGAGTAGGACCGATGTCAAAGACTAAATTCTCAAAACACTTGAGATGTCAAAGGTACAAACAACAAAAACAAAAGGAAATGAAACAAAACTATCACAGACTTGAAATCTGTTGATTGCAAGTACCAAAGACAAAGAAAAAAAAAAGAAGGTTTCAAATTACCTCCAACGTCAGAGAGGTCCATGAGTGATCAGAACCAGCAAACGCACTGTTTAGTTTATCATACTTGCCCTGCAACGACACAAAACAATACAACATTTTGTAAGATTAGGCTTATAAGCACTATGAAAAAAATCATAGAAACCTAATCAAAACACAAAGAAGACTGTTACGACATTCCCTCCATGACCATATCCTTATTAATGCTAGTTGTGTTCTGCTTTCACAATTTACAGTACCAAGAATATTTCCACATTCCTATTAAGTGATCCAGTACACACACCATGATGAATTGTGCAAAGTCAAAACCGAACAAAGTGTTGGAAAAATATCAAATTTTTGAAAAAGAATGATGCATAAAAGCTTAACTAGCAATGGAAACAATGTGTTGATATAAACTGCTTAACTCCCAATGAAGATGCAATTCATAAACAATGATAAAGATTCCTAGTACAGAACAGAGCAAAGTCTAATCAATCGAAAACTGATTAGAAGAGTGACCTGAAAGAGTTGGGTTAAATCCAAGGATCCAGAGACGGCATCAGGTTCTAATCTTGAAGAATTATCCGGATTTTGATCGTTTTCCGGTGACTCACTGGTCTCTGCAACCAGATCGGCGAGCAGATCTCCGATCGACAGCAACGGTCCTCCGACTCCTCTCATCCCTCTCAATCTCTCTCTCTCTGGCCGTCGTCGTCTCTCCTTCTCCGACGAACATACATTACAAAGTTTTTTTTTTTAATAAGTTTAATTAAGGATTTTGTGCAGAAACACCTGCGGACTAAATTGATTTTTGTACATCTAACCCTGAACTTTATTTCGTGAAAACTAAACCCACGAATTCGAAAATCGACCGCTAAACGATCTTCTTTGGACGTCGACGTGGCCCAATCAGAATATGCCACCTGTCAAGTCCACGTAGACGTCGCGAAACTTCTAACCAACGCGCAACGCCAACGCGCAACGAGCCAAGGACGATATAAAACCGATGTTAATGGCTTAAAATTCCTTTGATCTCTGGCGATTGTTGACGAAGAAGAAACCTGAATATTTACATCAATGGCATACGTCGAAGGAGGTAAGAGAACTTCCAGATCTCTCTGATTCTTTTCGTTTTCTTAATTTCACTTTTCGTTATGTCCTTTTTGAGACATTATTCGATTGGAAAGTAATAGGAATTTTTAAATTCTTCTCCTTTCATTGAGCACGAATCCTCGATTTAGAATCTGTTAAAGCGTTGTTATCTGCGGAAGTTCAATCCCTAAATTTTGGATCTTTTAGGCTCATCTCTTATTGGACCGATCATGAAATTTCTTATATGCTTAGAGGCGAGCGCAGATCAAAATTAATTGTATTTTGATTAGACATTTACCAACTTTTAAAAACATGTACACAGGTGTGGTTAAAGCGAAGCGATCGATATGGAGGCTAAGGACAATCAACGATTTCTTCTGGTCAATCATCAATCTGATACAAGTCTTCTTTATAACCATGTTCTCAGTAAGATTCTGATTTACCATTTCTTGTGTTACATTCCATAAGTTGTCACAAGCTATGATTAACCCGAGAGCAAAAAACACGTTGGTCAGATGGAGAAATCAGATGCATATAGGAAAGGCTCCGGGGCTAACAAGAAGTGGGATGGTGGCAGGGGCGGTGGACCTCCTGGTGGCGGCGGTGGTGGTGGACCACCTCGTGGGGGCCTGGACAATGTGCGCGGCTTGAATGATATCCGTGGAGCTGATCACAGTAAGTAATTCGAGCTGAGTTTGCTAATTTTAGTCATTTAAAAGATAAAAGAACACTGCGCAAGCCATGTGAATGATTCATGGTAATTTGGTCGTTTGATTTAAGTTGAATCTGAAGAATGGTAAATTTGAATTGTGATTTTTTCAGATTCCCTACCTGCATGTGGCTCGTGCTGTGGTTGAGCATTGTTTGTGTGGAGCGCGCAAGAACAAAACGAAAGGATATATATATTTAGTGTTCAAACGATGCTTTGGAGTTTGAGAGCTATGAGCCAAGATTCTGGTGTATGTGTGTATTTTGCATGTAATTAGGTTCTTTTTTGCATTAGTCGCTGGGAACATTTGAAGTTGGAAACGAACCTTACCTAGTTCATTATATACATTCCAACATATTTGTATGTTTGGGAAGAAATTGTAAAATGGGTTTATATTCTGGAATTTACTAAGCGTATAGTCCGAGTCTTTTACCCCTTTTTTTTATCACGTTTGATGATTCATTGTAACCACTAACCTTGATCTTTGACTCTTTGAGTCCTTACAAAGTTGAAAAGAAAGAGGCGTAAATGTTGGGATATTACATGGAACTATGGACCATTTTAAACACATCCTCCATTTGTGGGTAATTGACTAAATGGTAATGAATCAGCGTAAACAAGTTCAGAGAAAATTCAAAGGCAGCCAAATTTTGAGAGAGAGAGAAGTGAAAATGGTAATGGATCAAGTGAAAATGGTAATGGATCAGCAGAAACAAGTCGAGAGAAAACACAAAGAGAAAGAAAGTGAGAGTATGGATGAAAAAATACGACGAGATTTCATGGGTTTTAATCCGTTTAAAAAAAGATCACCTTGGTTTTGTTTTGCATTTTTCCACAATCAAAACACTTATAATAGCGATTGAAATAGTGTTAGCCACAAAGTAACTTTCTTTCTTTTGCTCAGTTAATACTTAATAGTGAGTCAAATATGATTTTCAGCAACATGATTCCACTTACGGACTGTATAAATTTTTGAACGTGTCAAACTTTTTCTTGATTACAAAAAGAAAGAGAAAAAAGAGTCCCGTAACGTAACGCAAAATTGCGATTAATTAAAGAATAATAAAATGAAAACAAAAATAAAGAAGAAACCATCGTACTAGAAGGAGAAAAAGATACGAGGAAGTAAATATTTTATAATATAAGAATCAATGTGAACCAGAACTGAAGCTAATACTTTTTACTTTACTTTACTCTATTTGCTGTTCGGAATCGACGTGGCCAAAGATGTCTGGACAGTCTTCCCATGTTCCGTTCTCGCGAGCTTCCCAGTAACCACCTTTGTATCTGTAAGCATCGCTTCCTTTCTCCTTGGTGAACCACTTCGGCTTCCATCCTCTCTCCTGCATCTTCCTCGACTGTCTCACCACACGGACCAGTTTATAGCATGTCAGTTTCGGTAATCGAACCAAACCAAATGCTTACCAAGAGTGAGACTTGTGTTACCTGACGCTGTCGCTGTTCCAGCCGCAATTTCTCCGTGTTGGCCATTTCAAACTCTCCGTTCTCAAGATACCTCTGGTCAGGTCTCAATCTTGAATCCGTTGGTGGCAGCTTCTCCTACATCCATATCTCTCCTTTTAGAAAAACTAATTTTTGAAAAAAAAAACAAAACAAGAATTCTCTTCGGCATTCACACACCTTAAGCCCAGGAGTGAGCTCGTTCAACGTGATTGCGAATCGTGTTAGGTTATACTTTGTTTCGTTCCCAGGAGGTTTGCTCCGTTTCCACAGAAGCTGAGCTCCTGACATCGCTTCACTCAGTTTCCCTTTCCCTGAACAATCACCCGTCACGTAGTGCATACTCTCGTCCCATTTCCCAAACATCGTCGCCACCGTCTTCCCATTCTTGTCTTGTACTATACCATGAACCTGTCATGAGCACAAGTTAAATCTTGGTCTATGGTCAAAACAATCTTATATCTCAAGGTACCTGGTGGGGATTTCGGTCTATGATCGACTGCTCCTTGAATTTAAGTTTACAAGAGTACTCAGCACGGCCTTCGATACGCATTGTACCGTAGTGATCACAGTAGAGTTTACCAAGTATGAGATTGTATATTGATGTAGTCACCTGGAAATTTAAAGATCATTAGTAACAACAAACATTACAATAGTAAAGTTTGGTTTTGGTACCTTACTCCACTGAAGGATTTCTCCATCATCAAACTGCAAAGTCAATACACCAACGGGATCGAGCTGAATCGACCGACCCCAGAATTTGCTCTTGAGATTGCTGTCTCCCCAGAATTTCCACCCCGTGCCATCGCAATGGCATGCCACAACCATAGGATGATGGCTGACCTGACACCAAAACGAATAAGAGGTCTGAATAGAGCTATGGATGATGAGTTAAACACACAGAATATGATTTTGCACGTTGTGAACTAAAACCTTTTCGGAGAAAAATCGAAGGCCTTTGTCTGGATAGTCCGCCTCGTATGTTTCACCTAACAATGGATTAAAAGGTTTGCACATTCTTCCTTCGGTAGATGCATATCCAGATACAGCAAAAGCAGCTACGTTAAGAATCCTCATGAGGCTATTTCCCTGTATTATAAGATTCACGTACTGAGCAATCATTCAAGATGCAAACCATGAAGGTTTCAGAAGGTTTAAATGCTTTACCCTTTTGCCCCATTCAAACGCTCGGTCAAGAAGGTATGAATATTCCAAATCCTCGAAACACTTCTGTAGAGAAGATAGTGGCTCGTTGAAGTAAACAGGAAGACAGACTTTTGTGAGATCCTTGCCTATATTGTCTTTGATCATTGACCATAGGCTAACACTTTTCTCTTTTTCAACCGGATCGGGTAAATTCTTCCTCCTTTTGACGTGAGGGTAGTTGCATCCAACAGATTTGATGGAAGGATCAATATCATCTTCTGATCCAAATCCATCATCGTCGGAAGAAAACGATGATGTACGAAAGCCAGAACCACTACTCTTGAAAGAACTTGAAGAAAGAAAGTCACGTGTGTCAAAAAAGGTATTGTCTTCCTCATCAGTTTCTGCATCACCTCGTTCATTATCGTCATCAGACTCAGTGGCAGTCCCTTCTGAGATATAAAAACGAACAAAAGTCAATTGCGCACTCGAATCAAAATGCAGGTAGATGAAATAGTTATATGCAGGTCGATGACTCACCACTGAACTTCTCATGTCTTAGATCATTAGAACCTCCATTTTCAGCCTGTCTTTGACTCTCATCTACAACTGTGTTTTCCAGATCTACCTTTTCCGTCTAGAGAATCACACAGGAAGAGCAGGTTCTTAAGAGAGTACACAGCCGAACGTGATAACAAATAAACAAATAGAATGACTAATAAAATCTCCTGTAAACACAAATTATGCACCAATCTCACCATTGCACACAGATTATAGCAGTCAACATGAAATCCAAATCATAACTTTCGCAATCTAAATCAAAAGGAATATACTGAGAAAGTTGTGATACCTCTAATTGCCTAAGGGTGTCAATGAGAAGCCACTGCTTCTGTTTGAGAAGCACCAACTGGCTCTGAAGTGCAGAGAACTCAGACCTCATAATTTGCTCGCAGTCCTGAATAGCTAACTCGCTAACTCCTTCATCAATCAAACGTTGCCTAAGCTTCTCCGTCGTCATGGCTAAATTGTTTGTAGGAGCCATCAATTCACTGTTGGACATCCTTGGAAACATATCCTTAACAGCTTGCAGTGCCTCAACCCAAGTTGTTCTGTCCTCTCGCGTCTCTGCTCGCAAGTGGAGCCTCTTGGTGCCAGTGAATATGGAGAATCTCTTATCATCTGATCTGCTCTCCCTCACTGATGAAACCTGCACACAGCATATATAAATCTGCAATTCAGCATAACTATCATTCCGCTATTCAATCATTAGACTATTCCACAATGCAAGCACAAAGAAGCAGTTTGGCCATAGTTCCGATTGAATTTAAAATTTATCCTTAGCAGATGATTTTGTATCTAACCTTGAGATGGACTTCCCCGAATGGCTTGCGACGGAGTTGGCAACTGCCGCCGCTTACGCCATGCTTGTGGTGCCTTGAGATCATACGAGCAGAATCTTCTCCGATAACTTTTGATCCCTCTTCAGTTTCAGGGCTAACGAAGATCTTATCACGTCCATGGATTTTGTAATACGAGAGTACACCGTCCTGCAAAACGAACCACCTCGGTCTCCATCCTCTACCATAATTGACCCATTTGTGCAATATCCCGGCAATTCCATTCCCGACGATATCGTTAATCTTAACATCAACCGGCGGTTCTCTCACCGCGGAAGCCGGTAAGGCTAAAACGCGTTGCCCTAACCGATTAGCGACGTCACTCTGGTGGTTGAAGGAGAGACTATGAAGGAGATGGTTGTAATTTGATGGATTCGAGTGATGATCGTAACTCTGGGAAGCAGATCGAGTAATCATCGGTTCGGATCGAGTCATACCGAAAGGTGCTCCGGATGTTCCGGCGTACAGATGCAACGGAGGTTGCGGTGGTGGTTGCTCCGGCAACGGCGGCATCGAAGGAGAGTGATCAGCGACAGTGGAAACGCAACAGAAAGGAAGCATGTGGAGAGACGTCTAAGACAATAAATCGGGAAATTGGAGGCCGTTGGATCCGACGATTGTGCCACGGAAGACGGCGGAGACGGTGGAGAAGAGGAAGAAACTTCCGTTCATTCTTGATGACGGACAAAGCAGAGAATTGAGAATTGAGAATTGAAAAACTGTAGAAAGGGGGAGAGAATTGAGAGGTGGTTGTTGAAAATGGGTCAGAGAAAGCGAAAAGTTCGGTAGCAGAAGGAGAAGAAAGAGTCACCGGAGAGGCGAAGCTTTTCGTTTATTTATTTACTAATTTTGTTTTTTGTTTGGGTGAATTAGGCCAATATACATATTGGGGTTCAAAATAAAGCCAATAACCATAAAAGATCTGTATTTAAGTGAGCTATCTCATGCGCTTACAAATGACACAAAACCCCTCGTTAAGTGGTAGGAAAATAGGTGGTGTAAGCTGATGACATCATCTTTTCAGCCGACCAAAATGAATACGGTGCCGAGTAAAGCTTTCACATCTATACTATTTGAAAGATTGTGGTCTATACTACTGAAACAAAAAAGATGAAAAAGTCTTTGTTAAAGCTAATACGGTGCAGCCGTGCAGGGGCTGCTAAATGGTCCCAAAATGCACCATAATGTTCAAGTTCATTGCTTCTCGAGCTTCAATGAACACTAGCAATTACGTAAACGTGATTTCGCATTTTTAAAAATTTGTAAAATGTGACGTATGATGGTTATAAAAAAATTGCTAATCCATCATTAGGAAACTACTTCCGCATTTATCTTTATTCTATACCATTACATCGGTCTCACATATTTCCAGCATTTTACATAGTATAACACATTTGCCGCCAACTCACAAGCTTCTTTCATCATAAGGAGTTCTCCTGCAAATTTTATAACAGGTCCTCTTAATGGCAGACTGCAGTTAAATTCCCAACAAACACATTCGCATTTTGAACTACAAAATTGAACTATCACCAAACACTCATTGTATGTCAACAAAATAACGACTAAAACAGAATAGTTAGATGGACAATTTTGAACATCCACAAATTTGGTGTAGCAAAGCTTGGGTGACTGTGATTGAGAATAGTAGCTTTTCTACTCTAATGGGTATCCATTTGAACTGCAAATCGGAGCCGATTTCGCCAAAACCTTCAACTACAAAGAAAAACTTATTAGTCCACATAGTCGTATTTATCGGATACTCCTGCGCTTCGTAGAACCTTCCAGGAAGACGATTCCGTTGTGGTTTGCTTCTTGCTCCACCACCGTCACTATGCTCGGCTTCAAAGCCTTGACGGTTGCGAAGAGCTTCTCGATTGAACCGGATCAGGCCAGAAGCCGGTGGAGCTCAAATACCGAATTGACCACTAAGGTTTCTAATTCGGGTCGGGTCTCAAACATTTCGGGTTCTAGATCCAATAAAGGTCTCTGCGGCTAATCCCTTGAATTCGAATTCGATGCCAACAGCATGAGCGAATTGAGCTAATTTCCAACCTAATTGCGACACATTTCAAATGGAGCTACTTTCACGATTTACTCGATTTAATCAGACTTCAAATTTCTTTTTCGACTTACTATTCCCCTTTTCTTCTTAACCCTTTTCAGAACTTACACGCTGCACAGGAAAACAAGCATTTTCACAGAATCCCTTAAAACCCAGAAATTCGCAATCCAAGTTTCGGAGACTTACATGCTTACTTCTCCTCTGTAGTCTTCCTCTGCAAAACTCTAACTCTAAATCGGCAATTGCAGATATTATGTTGCTTCTTCTACCTCGTTATTGTGTATCCAAGCGATCCCAAATATAAACCTTTGATTTCGTTACTGTGATATTGGATTCCAAATTTCCTTAACGCCTTCCTTTTAAAATAGCAAATTCGCCAGTTTCGTTGTAGAACAGAATACATCTCACTAAGAACCCTCACGAAAAATTCCCCCTTTTACCAATTTTAAAATTTTACGCCAATATAGTGTTCTTTGTCGGCTAATCCCAAACTAACCTAAAGCCAACAGCTCAAACTTTAGCTATCACAAGAGGAGGAGAATTGTGGTAATATTGTATAAAATATGCACTGTATCGTAGCCAATCACTTGATATAGCTATATCCTTAATTTCATGTTTTTTTTGGTTATTAAGTGCAATTTCCCTTTTTGTTTTTGTTTTTTCAATGACTTCATAGAGGGGGCCAGAAAAATAATCGGTGCCGTCGTTGCTGTGATTCTGACGTGGTGAAGAGAATTTTCAATTAATGGGTCATTCGCATTTCTTTCTTTTTTTAACCAACCATTTAAAAAAAATAAAAAGTATTTTATAAGTACTTCTTATTTTATTTTATTTTCAACAATAAGTACTTCTTATTATTTACAAATTTTATTCTTAAATCGGACCTGCTGAAAAATACAGTGTAAATTATTTATTATTTCAGTGCAGGATTGCTAAAACAACTGGAATACTGCTCCATAATGAAAATCCTCTAAAAGATACTCTATTCAGTATTCACACACAAAATATTGCTTACTTTATTTATGGTAATTAACAAAAAGAATACGTATTTCCTTACATTAATGGGAGGATTTGGAAAATGATAAATTGATCTCATTTTCCAGAATAAGAAATATTCGTTACTTCATACCATTAATTAGGCAATACTTGATTTCAGATCACGAACACATGCCAATGAGGCAATACTAACCTTAGAGAGGATTTGGTGAAAGAAAATTAATACATTTGTTTGAAAATCAATTAGTTTTTGCATTTACTTTGAGCCAAAGTAACTCTGTGGTGGATTGTTATGTTTCACTATCTCCAAGCGGGACTATTTTTCTTTAAAATCCGCTGATTTGAGTTTGTTTATAGGGTCTAAGGCTGTTCAAGTTTACACAATTACACATAATTAGATAACATGGGACATGCCTCCAGCTGGTTATGATCATAGAGGAAGAAGAAGATTGGCCGTCATTGGCCTCGGAATTAGATGAGTTTCAACTTATTCATGCTTCTTTCATTTCTTTCTCGCTATCTTTTATACCACAATTGTGTAATGTCCGTGATGGTCTCTCAAAAGGAGCAAGAGCACATGGTGTTAGTTTTACTCATGTAAACCCTTCGATTCCAAGCTCGGCAGCTCTTGAAGCTGTCTTGGTTGGTTAATATCAATAATACATAAGTTTGGACGTAAAAATAAAAATAACATGGGACAAGAAATCAGTATTACGTGATCGATATTAACTATACACTTTCCTATGTAAGTTTGATTTCCATACACTTTTTTTCTTAGTTGAGACTGGAGAGCTACACTTGGTTTAAGAATGAATGCTTCATTGTGCTGTACAAAGAAGTTTGAGATTGCTTTTAAAGAAAATTCCTTGGACCTTGGAGATTTAAGGACAGAGTTTGTCTGAATCGAAGGTTTTATATGTCTTCGTGTCAAAAAGAAAGGAGGAGAGAGATTTTCTCGTTGTCACTAGAGCTGTCAAATGGGCTGTCGTCGACCCCCATTTGGGTCAGTATTTGATTTTTGGGCTGTAATTGGTCTGTCCATTTTGGGCAGCGGTCCAAAACATGTCCATCCTCAAAGTCACTCTCTTACTTTTGTGACTGTTCCTTCTCTATTTTGATTTCATTATAACTAATATCCTTTCTTTTGATTGTACTCGGTTTCTATCTTTGGATCTTGTCCTTATTACGTTGTTTGAAGCTTTGTGTTCACTGTTTGGTTTAATTCATTCGTTGGACTACAAAAACAGACAAAACAAAAGTTTAAGTTTAAAACAAAACTTTCACTATTTCCATAAAAAAAATCCAAAAATAGTGAAATAAAAATATAAATGTATGGATATTCAAACAAAACAAAACTTAAAACTCGAAATCCTGAACTCTTAATTTTAATACACTAAACGCCCAAATAAAAGAAGAATAACATGTTTTGGAATAAAATACTCATTCGTCTCAACAATTCAATAATTAGTAAAAATCTTCCAAAATCTTTGTGTTTCTGTCGCTATTTTCTTTCAACTGTTTGCAATTGAATACAAATACTCCAATTCTTAAGCGATACACAAATTCAGAGGCCAATCTAGTTGGATCAGTGTGAACTTTAACTCTTAAAAGGGGAAATTCCTAAAAGGTTTACTTGCATTGTAAGTCTTGAGAAACCATCAAGTAAGAAAACGAAACCTGAGCTTCAGCTTTTAATTCTTTCTCATGCTTTCTGATGACAACATTCGAAGCCTTCTATTTCAATCCAAGCAAACAGCAATTCCCTGGGTTTAAGACAAAGCAATTGTAGTTTTCTCTCCTTTTGCTTCTTCAAATCACAAAAAAAATCATTACTATTATTTCTTTTCAAATTTGTCTCTCTTTCTTGTCTTGGAGTTCACTTGAATATCTCTATGTTCTGTCTTTGACATAGAAGTCATATATAACAGAGCAATGTCCACAACTCAACCAACTACTTACCTCTCCAGTTCCTAAAGCAAAAAGCTTTTTATCTACTATGGAGGAGAAGAATACAAAGATGAACCATGCAAGTGGTGATGATGATGATAAGGTTCATCTAAATAGCTTGTCGATATTTAGCTTCTTCTTGGTCATAGTATGCTAATGTTTTCTCCAATCTAACTACAATCATTTTTTTCGTATTACGTCGACCAGCATCACACTAACACAGAGGAGGAGAGGATAATACTGAACCCTAACTTTGAGGATGGCCTCAACAACTGGAGTGGAAGAGGGTGCAAGGCTGTCTTACACGAATCAATGGACAAAGGGAGAATCGTGCCGCTCTCAGGAAAGGTTTTCGCAGCAGCAACAGAGCGTAAAGCCACATGGAATGGGATTCAACAAGAGATTTCGGGACGGTTTCAGAGGAAGCGTGTCTATGAAGTAACAGCATTGGTTCGAATATTTGGCAATAATGTCACGAGTGAGACAATACAGGCGACTCTATGGGTCTTAAACGCAAACCAACGTGAACAATACATCAACATCGCCAAGTAAGCTTTATCCCTTTTTTTCATCTTCTCCATTGCTAAACATTCGATAGCTTGACACATACGTTAAACTGACAAGTGTTTTTGTATGTCGACAATGATTCATATTAGTGTGCAGGCCACTGATAAGAACTGGGTAGAGTTGAAGGGTAAATTTGTAATCCATGGTTCGCCATCGAGGGTAATAATTTTCCTTGAAGGTCCACCTCCAGGAGCTGACATCCTCGTCAACACTTTTTCTGTCAAACATGCTCGAAGGAATCGTCCCTTGCCTCCACCCATCTACGAGGTCAGTCTCTTGACTATAAACAATGCTGGAGAACTTTTTTACCAATGATGGCGTCTCTTTCTTTCTCTACACGTCACTGTAACCTATCAATGATATATAGCTTCTTGTTAGACATTCACATAGCAGTTGCATGAATGTTCCTAATATATACTCCCTCTGTTTCATAATATAGGGGGTTTAAGGTTTTTGCACACAGATTAATAAACTATTTAATATTTGTACTTTTTGAAATAAAATATATTTTATCATCAATTTCAAAACATTTTGACCAATGACAAAATAATATAAAGAATATAAATAATCAAAAGTAACAAAACACATTTAATTTTGCCTAGAAACTCTAAAACCCCTAGTATATTGAAACCAAAAAAAACTCTAAAACCTTTTATATTTTGAAACACAAGGAGTAGTAATCTTGGGAGTTTGGGGTTAAAATCCTCCAATTGGAAAAGAAAACGATTCTTTTGAGGACACAAATAAGTTACTATTTGTGGTATTTTTTTGCAGAATCCTCGTTTCGGAGTCAACATTATCGAAAACAGTGAAGTGAAAGATGGGGCTACACAACCATGGTTTACCCTAGGAAACTGCAAGTTGAGTGTTGGACAAGGCGCACCTCGCACTTTGCCACCAATGGCGAGAGACACGCTTGGTCCTCACAAACCTCTCGGAGGAAACTACATCCTCGTGACAAACAGAACGCAGACTTGGATGGGTCCGGCTCAGATGATAACAGACAAAATCAAACTCTTCTTGACGTATCAAGTCTCAGCATGGGTCAAGATTGGTGTGGGAGTGAGTGGTAGTGGTGTAACAAGTCCTCAAAATGTGAACATAGCACTTAGCGTGGATAACCAATGGGTCAATGGAGGACAAGTTGAGGTTACCGTTGGCGACACGTGGTATGAAATTGGTGGATCTTTTAGGCTGGAGAAGCAGCCGCAAAAGATCATGGTTTATTTTCAAGGTCCTGCTCCTGGGATTGATTTGATGATCGCGGCTCTTCAGATTTTCCCCGTGGATCGTCGTGAACGTCTCAGATGTCTCAAAAAACAAGTCGATCAGGTTCATATATATCTTCAAGTTTCCTTAGATTTTCAGTTCTTGATAAGGTTACGAGTTTTCAAGAATGTAATAACTTTGTTTCTTGGTAGGTACGTAAGCGCGACGTTGTCTTGAAATTCTCAGGACTAAACGACGACGACTTCGATTTGTTTCCTTACATAGTGAAGGTGAAGCAAACACACAACAGTTTCCCAGTAGGAACGTGTATCAACAGGACAGACATAGACAACGAAGACTTTGTGGATTTCTTCACCAAGAACTTCAACTGGGCAGTGTTCGGAAACGAGCTCAAGTGGTACTCGACAGAGGCCGAACGAGGGAAACTCAACTACCAAGACGCAGATGACATGTTAGATCTTTGTATCGGCAATAACATAAACGTTAGAGGACACTGTATCTTCTGGGAGGTTGAGTCCACTGTCCAACCGTGGGTTCGTCAGCTCAGCAAGACTGATCTGATGAACGCGGTCCAAAAGCGTCTCATGGATGTCCTAACACGATACAAAGGTAAGTTTAAGCACTACGATGTGGACAACGAGATGCTTCATGGCTCTTTCTATCAAGACAGGCTTGGGAAAGGCGTTAGAGCATTGATGTTCAATATAGCACACAAGATTGATCCATCTGCTCTGCTCTTTGTCAATGATTATCATGTCGAGGACGGGGATGACACAAGATCATCACCAGAGAAGTACATGAAACTTGTTCTTGATTTGGAAGCGCAAGGAGCTGCCATTGGAGGGATCGGGATCCAAGGACACATAGATAGTCCTGTTGGATCCATTGTTTGCTCTGCTCTTGATAAGCTCTCTGTTCTTGGTCATCCAATTTGGTTCACAGAGCTTGATGTCTCTTCAAGCAATGAGTACGTTAGAGGAGAGGATCTTGAAGTCATGTTGTGGGAAGCATTTGCACACCCTGCTGTTGAAGGTATCTTTTGCTTTACGTTTATGAAACTGTTTATATATTGCAAATACCAGTTTTATAGTAAATTACGCAAACTGCAATTTGATGATTAAAAAATTAAAGAAGTACATTCATCATCTCATAGTCGACAAATGATGCAAAACTTTCTCATGACATTAGCTTTATATTACTAATTTGGGATACAAACTTGGTGTTTACAGGAATAATGTTATGGGGTTTCTGGGAACTATCTATGAGTAGGGAGAATGCGAATCTGGTGGAGGGAGAAGGAGAAGTAAACGAAGCCGGGAAAAGATTTTTGGAAGTGAAACAAGAATGGTTAACTCATGCCTATGGGATCATCAATGATGAATCAGAGTTCATATTCAGAGGTCATCATGGGACTTACGCCGTCGAAATTTGTACTCCAGATGGGATTGTTCTCAAAACGTTTGTCGTCGAAAAAGGAGAATCTCCACTTGTTCTCTCCATTGATCTCTCTTCTTTGTGATTGTTTTTCTTTGTTGTTCTCTTTTTCTATTGTTTCTTTATAAAATGGGGCGGGATTTAATTTCTTCTTCATGGAGCACGCGAGTAAATTAAATGTGTACACAAAGTTATGTTATGTCTTTAATTTGTTTTTGATTATTATTTGAGAACTGTCTTTGTTTGTTTACAGCTTTAAAATGTTGGTTTTGAAATGTTGCACTTCTGCTTATATATTTTACATAACACGTTATTTATTTAAGTTTATTTAGCAGCACGTTAGGATGGCCGATGCCCGATGGCATAACATTTTAAAATGTTGAATTTATCAAACACAGTTATTTTCTGTCTGATTTGGAGTGTTGTACCATTGCCATTTACCCAATTCTTTTTATAATTACTAAAAAGAAAATTGATTGATAGTTATACTAAAATTAATTAGATATGGTCCATATGAAAGATGGGAAGTGGGGCAACGAATCTCTACATACAAGAATTGGACGTATTTCATAGTATGTTATTTTAATAAATAAAAATGAAGAAAATAGTAAATGTGATAGTAATAAATAAATAAATAAAGAGAGAAACAGTAAAGGACAGTCCTTGGGACTAGACTAAGTGGGAGTGATGAGGGGTCTGAGAAGAGGAGGCAGTCCCTAAAAGCTCTTTTTCTTCTTCGTCTGGTAACTTTCAGATCCCAGTTTGTTAGTATCTCTGTCGTCGCTTAATAATTGACCCTTCATCTTTTTCGTTTCCTTAAATCTAACCCCATTCTATAATTTACATTCATGTCTTGTGTTGTGTCGTTGGTCTTGATTACTACTTATAGAAGTAATGTTGGTCTTGATTACTACTTATAGAAGAAGTCAAAAGAAGAGTTTATTTTTATTTTTCTTTATACTGTTTATCTGCATCTCCATTATTTTTAACCCACTCCAAATTTTACTTAAACCAAACGCTTATTTTGACCGTTGGATGCATTTGCTGTAATAGGCGTCGTCGTTGTCTTTATCTGTCGGCCAAAAGATATTTAGCTGCTTAAGCTTTTTAGATAATGATATTAGTTACTATATTAATCAATAAGCCAAAATATAATCTAAATGGTAGTAATTGTTAGGGTTTTGTGAAAAAAAAAAACTGTCAACTAAATTGTTTTGAAAATTATACTTTCACTTCAGAAAAATGATATGAAACCATTCAAGTCGAAAACCCGCTAGACAGAACATTTTTGTATCTTTCGACCTTTTTGTCTTCTTTATTTTTTTCCTTACCCCTTTCTATGTATTTTTAAAATGAAAAACCTACATCGTGTATGCTTAATACTAGTACATATGCAAAAAGAAGCTGGACTAGTTACGTTTAGGTAAAAGCAAAGTAATAAAGTTGGTTTAGCTCCTCTTTCACGTTAATAGATAGAATGCTTAGCAGCTGTATGGATCAAGATCATGGACTAATAAAAGATAACTAAAATATGTGAATGATACGTTTCCACGAGATTCTATATTCATATATTGCATCACAAGACAAACAGCATCATGGCTTTGTCTTCATGTCGGTTTATAGTTGCTCCATCTTTTCTGCGTTATAAATTATGATTCATCTCTTTAACAACAAAAAAAAAATTATGATTCATTTACTATGTCTGTGGTAACTATCCATCGCAAGTTCATCTTTTTTTCTTTTTCTTTTTAATTACATTGTTCATCAAGAATCATACTTTTCTAACAGATGTATAAATTTGTGGCCTCCTTTAATTTTAGTTATACTTTAGTCCTACTGTAACGCTTATAAATTACGAAGTTGTTGCCTTATACTGATCTATGCTACATGCTGCATGTCTCTTTAAGTAAATGAATATAATATATAGTGTTATGCAATAATTCAGATTAAAAAATTGATGAATCATGTAAAAGAATATTTTTAGCAGAGTTCTTTTAGATTTTTGATATTATTGCTCTTGAAAAAGCTAAGATATTGAATCTCTGTCGAACACAGTAGTTTTATGATAGTGCGTAATCTACTATCTCCAAAATGTAGAACCTTACCTAATTAGTGTACTTGGAATATATTTTTTCTTTTAGGCTAAATATTGTACTTGAACAATTATTCTCTCTGAATCCATTTGTAACCATAATATTTTAAAATGTAGAACCTTACCTAACTATCTAACTACTTAAGTGTGGAACCTAACCAACAATAGTTAAGCTTGGGTTCCGTTAACTCGTTATATATAACCAAATAACCTAATTACGAATGAATTCTGAAAACAAAACGTTTGAAACCGTTGTATGGTGAAGTTTTAAGTATAAATAGTTGATATGAAGTGCGAAATGGAACAGAACATCATAATATCATATTGGAGTAGTTATAGGAAAAAATCAAAGAATGAGAGGTGGGTGCAAAAGTATAAAGAGGAAAGGTATCAAGTGAGAAAGCCAAGACCATCATTTCTTAGACACTTCTGTTTACATTTCTCATGTAAATATATAACACATATATAAGGTTATATATATACAAACACACAAAGATGTCACCTCCATTTATAACCAAAACAAGGGCATGAGCATCCATCGAAGTCTAGCCCAAGGAACAGCTACTTCTTCAAATAGTGCGAAAATCAAAACCCCACAAAAAAAATAGTCGTCGATTCCCATTAGTTAATTGTCTATTTTTTATTCTAAATAATTGTTTTTGATTTTATAAAAAAATTGTAATGAATGATGATGAATTGATGATGATGTGAATAGAGTTCTGACAAAAGATGGGGTCCGTCTATAAATGTCCCATCTCTCCTTTTGTAGCGCGCATCTCTCGGGGGACTTGTATTTTCTGTCTGGCCCAATGCTCTCTCTCTCCTTCTCTTTCACATGCAAATCAGCAATGAGAACAGTGAAAAGTTTTTGCTTTTATTTTTCTTTTTTTGTCAACCAGTGAAACAGCTAAACCCAACGTCTTTTCTTATTTTGTATTGTTTTTTTCTTTATAGTTTGTTTATGGGTTTGATTTGATTAGTGGTCTTTCTTTTTTTGATAAATGATTAGTGATCTTTTGATGGTAAAAAGTCTTGTCGTTTGTACTATTTTTTTTAAATCGGGTAAAATAGATTTCATATAGCAGAATAGACAGTTGAAAAAAGGGTAAGAATATTTACAAGGTTTCCTAAAATCTTTAAAGCCTTCCTACAAATTTATACTAAACCTTTCTAAGAATAAATTGTAGTGAGTAAAAAACAAAGTGATTGTTTTTGAGGATTTCTCTAATAAGTAATAACAAGTAGTATGTACATGGTTTTTTTTTTTCAAGGGTTTATATCTCCTATAGATATTTGAGAAGACATTCAAAAGAATAACTTTACATTCATGTGTCATTAACAAAAATACTATGATAATGTGTCATCAACATAATGCTTCTCAAAACACTTGTAGAAAAATAGTTATATTACTAGAAGAATTACAGAATATGTCACTAATTAATTTGGTAAGTGAATAGTTTATGTTATTTCTATAACTCAACATTTAATTTATGAAGATATTCTCATTGTTTCCATCTAAACCAAAAATATAATATTAATTATTGCTTTAAACACTATAATCATTCTATAATTTTTGGTTGATCTACATTTTTTTTAAAGTAAAAATTACCATATCATATACTAATAAAAAGATATATATATTTTTTACAAAAGTTATAATTTGAATTTTAAAAGCGAATATCAAATTAATTATTAATTATAAATATTTCTAAAGAAAAAATATACGTGAAAAACTAAATGTTCAAAAAACATATATATAACATTTGTCATGAGTTTTCATAATCACTCGTTCATGCAAATCTTCTCAGATTTGTTTTCTAAACATATGTGCTTCACTACTTACACAAAATTCATGGATCCATCAATATATTGAAGTACCAAATTTTTAAAACTAGATTTATGGATACATTCCTGATACCTGGATTATTTTTAGAGCAATATTTTTTTGAACAAATTCTCTTCCTTATCCAAGCACTTCAATTTAAAAGAACAAGTAGGAAGAAAAATGTAGTGTATTCATCAACATAGATTGCAATATGGTGATAATATAATAAAAAAAAATCCGGAACATATAACCTACACGCACAGAGATGATAATTATATATTGACACATGAACGCACGTGGGCTGAAGCAGAAGAAACAGTAATAAGTGGAATCATCAGTCATTTTTTTCACTTCATTTCACTGCAAAATTTCTGAATCACTGTTAATCGTTGAAAAACCTTTCAACACATAAGTCACAACCCCTACTACTCTCAGTTCCACTGCCTCTCTTTGTTTTGTTTTGTTTCCACTCATTAACCATTACTTACTTACTACCTCTTAAATTCCTTTTGGCCATTTATTACCGTCAGTTCTTTTTATTTGACCGATTGATAATCTGTCCTTCGTTTATAGATTTGACTAGATTATCATTTCTTATCAATTTGTTAGATGAGTTTTTTTTTTCTCCTGCCAACAGTTTACTTTGAATAGTTTCAATATAAGTATAATTTTGAATACAAAACATTAAGACTTAAAATGTTTTTAATCATAAATTTGAAACTAAAAAAATGAAATCATGTGGTGGAGAAAGTATATATGTATATTACCTTTAGTATAAGATTTTGATCACTTTCCGAAAAAGATATACAATGATTATGAAAAATCTACAAAAATTACTTGATCAAACTACTAAATAAACTTGCAACCTCTGTAAATATTACAATATAGACATTGAAATGTTTTCACTTTAGTTTTTCACAATTATATTTTTTTGAGAAAATTAAAGATGTCCAACTGACGTGTGACATGAAGTCGCCACATGTCCGACCAATAGGCTTCTTAACCTCGAGATAACTGCTAGGAGGCGGAGAAATCACGTTAGACAGAGGCTGTGAATGGATATACATGTTAGAGTAAAAAATAGGTGGGAAATGAATTTTACTCTGAGTTACTCTATTATTATGCCAATCAGGTGGAAAAAAATTACCATCAATTAACGCTAGATCTTGCGTTATCTATTACTCCATATTTTTGTGGAGTAAAACATTTTTTTTTTTTTCACTCATTTACTCTAATTTCTTACCTCTCATTTACTCTACTTTTGTTTACTCTCATTTACGCTAGTTTCACCATTCACACCCAGAGAAGAGGAGGAACCAAAACAGCCTTGGTCTAGCCAATAAACTGCTCCGGGGCATATAAAAAATTAAAAAGATTTATGTTAGATCATATCATATGCTCATGAGTATTAAGGTTTTAAGTTATTCCATTTGCTTTCCAAATTTATGGTATGACTTGAAAGATCTAGCATTAATGAATGAACTTTTTTGATCTGAATAATTAAGCATCTCATATTGAAACCTATCGAGTGGAAATACTGGCATTAAGTACTTGAGAAAAACAATTTGAACACAACTTAGAAATTTAACGTTCGGCCAAATAAAGAGTGGAATTACTGACAATTTTGTTTTAATAAGAGCTCTCACAATTTATGTTTCCCGTTTATTGCACTGATGTAAGAAAATAAATAGTTTCGAAAATTAAAAAAAGAAAGGTTTCGAGAAGCAAATGGTGTTATTTTATACCCCTAAGATTTTCCTTTCTTTCTTTTTGTATAAAATAGATTTCCTAGTCACTCTATATACGTTTTAATAAATCATGAAATAGAGTATTTTTGTTTTTGAAATGAATATAAAAAAACTGAATGTTGACCGTGGAACAGAACAAGAGTTGAAAGAAGTGTCTAGCATGGTCTTATCATAGAGCCAATAGTTGAAAACAATAGAATTTCATATAAAAAAGCATATTTATAATTCCATTCTTTCTTTATTTCTCGTTTCGTATGCAATCTTTTATCCGATAACGAATACACGATAGTCTCTCACTCTCTCTCCACCAATGTAATACGAATATAATTAGAATCAAAAACTAATCTATTTGATCAAATTCACATCAATATCTATTTATCTACACATCAACCAATGTATTACGTAATAAATCATAACATAAACCCACCCAAAACTTAATTTCAAACTTAAAATCCACCCTGCCACCAAATTTCCCTAAATCATATCGGAAGTAGAGCTCATACATATTCTCTTCTTTAGTTTCTTTCTACTTGACGTCAATATTGATGATGCTTTTCAATTTGGAATATTCTTGTAACCAAGAAAACATTTAATTAGCAGAAATAAGTACAACATATAGTATAGTATCATTTAACCTAGCAAGAAATTGTAGCTGAAGAAGCCACGGAGACCTAGTCGCTTAAAGAGTGACGGGGTACATCTTAATTCTAATACTTAAAACTCAATACGTATATTGTAGTAAAAATACGTAGAAATTTAATATATAAAATAGCCTATGAGAGGAAAACAGAAGAGAAAGGGAAGAAGGAAGCCTTTGCCTTATCTCTTGTCCCTTCTCTCTTACCTTTATTTTTATTTTCAAATATTTCTTTTTGCTCCCAAAGCAAACGACGTCTTGTCAATCCACTCAAGCCACCGAACTTCTTCATTATTGTTAATCTCTCTCTCTCTCTCTCTCTTACACACCTTTTTCTAATTTCTTCTCTTCCATGTCACTTCTTTGACGAATTCTATATACCTAGTTCGATTTTTCTTCCTCAAATATTTTGTCTTCAATTTATTTGGTTTTTGTTGGGTGCAATTTCACCTCAAGATATTTTTTATATTTTTTTCGAAGTAGGCTTTTGATTCGTAGATATGAGTCGTCTAGTCATCTGGATTTGATGTGGTTATAGTCCAACAGAGACCTTTGATTGAAATAAGAACAAAAGCAAGAATACATACATCCCCTTCATATTGCACCCATCCCTATTATTTTCTAGGGTTTATTTTTTTTTATTTTTTTTATTAGTTTTTATATTCTCTCTTTTCTCTCTCTCTCAGATTCTGCTAATCTGGGTATGGAAGAATACCAACATGAAAGCAGCTCCACTCCTCAAAGAGTAAGTTTCTTGTACTCTCCGATCTCTTCTTCCAACAAAAACGACAACACCAACAACAACGATAATAACAAGTATGGTCCTGGTTACCACAATCATCATCAACAACATCATCAACACATGTTGTTCCCACATATGAGCTCGCTTCTCCCTCAAACGACCGAGAATTGCTTCCGATCCGATCATGATCAGCCTACCAACCCATCTGTTAAATCCGAAGCAAGCTCCTCAAGAATCAATCACTACTCTATGTTGATGAAAGCCATCCACAATACTCAAGAAGCTAACAACAACAACGATGTCGAAGCCATGAAGGCTAAGATCATCGCTCATCCTCACTACTCTACCCTCCTACAAGCCTACTTGGACTGCCAAAAGGTTTCATAGATTTAGCACCTGCGTATATGATTTCTTTTTATTTGTATATATTATATATTTACTACTTCTCTATGTACTTTAAACTAACGAGATGATATACATGTTCATGGTTCATGGCTTATACAGATTGGGGCACCACCTGAGGTTGTTGATAAAATCATGGAGGCGCGTCAAGAATTTGAAGCGCTACAGCAGCGTTCTACAGTCTCTGTGTCTGCTTCGTCTAGAGACCCGGAATTAGATCAATTCATGGTTAAATTACTTATCTAATTGAATTTGAAGTGGGTTAGTTCTCTAAGTATACATGTTAAATCTTGAATTTTTCTTTTATGACAAACTAAATCAACAGGAAGCCTATTGTGACATGTTGGTTAAATATCGAGAGGAGCTAACACGGCCTATTCAAGAAGCGATGGACTTTATACGTCGTATTGAATCTCAGCTTAGCATGTTGTGTCAGGGTCCCATTCACATTCTCAACAATCCTGGTACATGTCATCAATCTCCCACATACATACATACACATATACATATATGCACATGTGACCATTGATTGTAGAAAATAAAGTTTAGTGTTTCTCAGAAAAAACAAAGTGTAGTGGCTAGGTAGGGTTTATGATGGATTTCATAAACTGTCATGTTTCTTTGTTGGTTCCTGGGAAAGTATTGTAACAATGGCAGGATTTTTATTTTATTTTTATCTTAACAATTATTAGGAACCTTCAAATGTTAATTAGATTATATATGATAATTTTCATCATTGGAATGCATTATTGTTGAAATTATGTAAGATGCAAGTAGATATGCACATTTGTTCTTGTTATCCTCATTGTGGAATCCATCCAAAGTGTGCGGGGGCTTGTTTTGGTTTCTTCCTTTTAACCGGCATGAAGTACAATCACAAGCACTTAGTACAATCACAAGCACTTTTTTGTTGTTCATTATCCAAAATGCAAACAAGTGCTCGATTCCATTATGTAAAATCATAAGATTCTCCACTTGGATTAGTCTTTCATTAAAGGTCATTCTCTTGAATGACTAAAATGTGAGATTGATAAAAAGATATAATGTGAAAACAGCTGGGAAAAGTGAGGGGATGGGATCATCAGATGAAGAGCAAGAGAATAACAGTGGAGGGGAAACAGAATTACCAGAAATAGATCCGAGAGCGGAAGATCGAGAACTCAAGAACCACTTGCTAAAGAAGTACAGTGGATACTTGAGCAGTCTGAAGCAAGAACTGTCCAAGAAAAAGAAGAAAGGCAAACTTCCCAAAGAAGCAAGGCAGAAGCTTCTTACGTGGTGGGACTTGCATTACAAGTGGCCGTATCCTTCTGTACGTATAAACAAACTCTTATCTCTATATGCCTTCAAATTTTATAAACTACTATATACTATAAGTCTATAACCAGTCTTTTAAAAGTAGATGCTACGATATCTATCAGCCTCGGTTTTCTCTTAAGGGGCTATGTTAGGCCGATTAGGATCTTGACACGGCCGATTAGTGTTCAAACACTTGTGCAAGCTATTTTCTAACATATCTATCAAACATCTTTTTCTTTAAACACATTAATGATTAAAATAATAATGTAAGACTAGATTGAGAAATAGCTTGTAGAATTTCATTTTGTTTAGCTAAATTTTGTAGTGTTATTAATTTCCAAACAAATTAACTTATTTAAACTAATCAAGGGATAGAGAAAAATATATGATTTGATAAATAGAAATTACATGTTATTAAGAAAAAGAGATAATACAGGCCACTTCATGTTTAGGAATTTTTTTGAGAGGGCCACATTTTAATCAAAACTACGTTTATGCATTTAGTGTAATATCATGTGTTTGGACTCTTAGTTTGAAAAATGCATGATATTAAAAGTCTTATGTCACAATAGAGATTGAGTGGTTTGGCCATTATGTTATATATTTATAGAAGATGTTGATTAATAAACTTGATCATTATATATGGTTTGTGAACGGTTGTATAAGAAAAGATGAAGAAAGTTTGGGCTTGAGAATTTTTATTATTAATATTATGGTTCTGAGACAATGCAATAATGTTTTTTCAATTCTTTACTTTTTTCCTCTATAACAAGGGCCACGATTGTTTACACTTCTTCAAGTCTCTAGGAACCTAACTGGCTCATTAGTTTATTAATTGTCATCAGCTATTTTTTTTTTTCTGAAAACATCACTTGTTTGGTTTACTGCAAAAGTGATGATATGCCTCTGGTTTAAATTGCGTTACAGGAGTCAGAGAAAGTAGCGCTGGCGGAATCAACCGGGTTAGATCAGAAGCAAATCAACAATTGGTTTATAAACCAAAGAAAACGTCACTGGAAACCATCTGAAGACATGCAGTTCATGGTGATGGATGGTCTGCAGCACCCGCATCACGCAGCTCTATACATGGATGGTCATTACATGGGCGATGGACCTTATCGTCTCGGACCATAGAAGACATGCATGCAGAGATCCAAAAGCTTTAGCCATGTAATAACAACCTCTCGTTGCTTTCTTGTTTAAAATTCATGATTTGCACTTCCTACATCAGTTTGCTACCTATAGCTTATTTCCTTTACCCGTTTTGCCATGTCTCGTTCGTTGGGGTTTGAAACGTCCTAGAAAGAGTGATCCGTTTTTTCCAAATTTTTTGTTCCTAATGTTTTATTTATATATAAGTGTTTAAATAATGTGTGAAACGAAAATTTTATCCTGGAATTATCTTGCTCGCTTTATTTGCTATTGTTTTGTCAACATCTTGTTATATTATCAGATTTCGTTTTTAGAATAAAAAAACATATATTTCGATTTTTAAATTGTCATGTCTAAAATTAAAAATGGTAAATAGATTATTTGTTTAAGTCTGTGAGTGGTTGGTGTGAGACCGAGTCTTCGCTGAATGATCAGATTCCAGCTAATTTTGGCCTCAGTTGCTTCGTTGTCCTTTTCAAGGTTGTGGCTTTCAGGAACACGATTGTTTTAAATGTTATTAATACTTTTGTTTTTCCTTACAACCAGACGAGGACATGAATCTTTCCATGTAATAAAAAAAGAAGATAACTTTATTCCATGTTTACAGTATTATATGAATATATGAAAGAATAAAAGAATATAATTTTGCTACACAAATGAAACAGAATACAAACAGGATCTTTACTACAACCAACCCTCCCATTAAAAAAAAAAAAAAAAAAAGAAAAAAACAAGACTTATTTGTCTTTATTTTGTTGAGCTTAACTCCAAAATGGCTTGCACCAGATCTGGAGAGAAAAAACCATATGAAAAACACTGAAAATATGGAAAGCAATCATGGAGATATTTGTAGAAAAAAGCCATCAACGTTCTGATTCACAATGAACAGAGGAAAGCTTGGAGACCCATTTGTTGATCAGAGATCTTCTCCTTGAATCCCACATGGTTCTTTTTTGCTTAGTATTCATCACCATGGCCTCCACAAAACCATGAACACGGTCCATAGCAACCTCCAACGTTCCATCTGACATATTAGCGAAACAGACTCTGAACCAACCAGGCTCATCGCAGTGACAAGATGAGCCTGGAGAGATGTTGAGACCGACTTCACAGACAATCTTTGTCCACAAAGAGTGCTCGGCCTCGAACGTGTTGGATTGCAAAAGGTGTCTTAAGTCAACCCAACAGAACAAACCCCCGTTGCTCTTCAAACAACCGATCCCAGCTTTCTTCAAACCTTCAACAAGCCTGTCTCTTCTCTCTTTCAGCCTCTTCTTGTTCTCTTGCAAGTACTTGGTTGTGAACCTTTCGTCAGACAACAAGTTTGCTAGCAGATGCTGAGTCTGGGAAGAAATGAGTCCAAAACTCGACATCTTGGTAGCAGCTGAAACCACTTCCTCATTGTCTGAGTAGATTAAGCCTACACGAAATCCAGGGAGGCCTAGATCCTTGGACAGACTGTAAACAACATGGATCTTCTTATCAAACTCCATGTTCTTGTCCTTGGCCACTTCTAGAACGCTAGTGAACTCAGGAGAGTCAAAAACCGTCCCTGAGTAGATCTCATCGCTCACCATGTGGATGTTCTTGGTGGATGTGAAAGTGAGAAGAAGATCAAGCTCTTCACGGGTGGTTGAGGTTCCAAGAGGGTTTGAAGGGTTTGTGATGAGAACTCCTTTGACGTTTAGGTTAAGTTTCTGAGCTCGTTCGTAAGCGTCTTCTAATGCATCCTTCGTTATTTTGTACCCATTTGAGCTTACACAATGGATAGGAACAATCTCTACTCCCGTCCTCCATTTGAGATCTCTATCAAACCTTCAAGAAATAAGCCAACAAAAAATTTTAGTAGGCTTTCTTGTAATCCACGGTAATGAATTTAAATCGTGTGTGTGAAGTTACACACGTACCCTGGATAATAAGGTGCAGGGATAAGAAAAGCATCTCCTTGATCAGCAAGACAGAACATTAGAGTCTCGTTGGCCGAGGTTGATCCAGCAGTGAGCACCATCTTGTTGGTATCGAATTTCACTCTGTTCCCTCTGATTTTTCCCATGAATTTCGCCATGGCCTGTAGCATAAAATTATTTACAAACCGAAAAACCAAAAATCCAAGTTGAAACTAAACAAAAACTCGGATTAACACTCAAAATATATATAATAGTGGTTTATGTTACTTACATCCTTGAAAGCCGGCAGGCCATGGTAATCTTGGAATAGAGCTAATTGTCTAAACATCGACTCGTCGTTTTTCTTCAAACCCAAGACTCCTGGATTCTCTTCAAGCCACGACTCTATTAGATCAAACGAAAGCTGCACATAGAAGGGAGTTACACCAACCAAATCAGTGGGTATTCAGCATATATATTCGGATATTTGTTTGTACATTATAGTTAAGTATTGTATGAGACAAAAGATTCATACAAACCTGGTTTTCAGCAAGACCCATTTGAAGAATTCCACTAGGGTTAAGAGTTTCGTGGAAAGGATTCTTCTCGTATTCTTGCCATCCAAGAAAGTAGGACGAGTCTTGTCCATGAGAGTCGTTGGTAACTTTGCTTGACAACATTCTTAAATGCTACAGGTGAAAGATCACTATATTAATTTGTTGCAAGTACTACAAGTACTTAACTACAAACACTCGTAACTTAGTAATATAGCATAAATATAGAGAAAGAGAGAGAAGTAGAATGAAAGTTTTGAATGGATAGAGAATGTGAGCCCTGTTGAGGAACAAGCATGGATAATGGTGAATATATAATGGAAGAGGAGGCATGAGGAGGTGATCTGTAGGAGACATTGTTCCGACACTATTAGCTATAGTTAAAGTAGACGGTGTTGATTCTTTTGACTAAAACACACACACGTACAGATTATCAATTAATTTTGACCCACACGCACGTACACATTTATGTTAATTTAATGCTTATAATGTTTATCGTTTGGAAGTATTATTTATGTGTAATGTATTCCCTCATTTCCTTTGAGTTTCCGATGTACTTGTCTTCCATCTGTATTTTCCTTTTCAAGTTTTTATTTTGGACACTGGACAGCAAGGAAACGAAAGAATAGTAGAGGTGTATTAATATTATATGAGCTAGGATATATGTATATACATTCTTTTCTTTAGCAAGGATATTTGATGCAATATAACTATCTATAATTTCAATTAAAAAGATACTTGTGGCGTGAGTTAAAATATATATATATATATTTTTTATATTACAGCTGTATATTCAATAATAAAAAGCTCTAAAGTTTTTTTTTGGTAAAAATGTTAAAGTTTTATACCATTTCGATTTGTGACAGAGATTACAGAGAGAACTTAGAAAGCGGAAATACAAAAAACTAGAAGTAACAGACGGACAAATGGAAGAACAAAACCAACAAGCTAGACATACAACAAAACGACCAGCGGATTTCCAAAGATGAAACACTGATTCCGAAAACCTACACTCGGAAATTTGCATTTGCAATTCCTAGAAACTTGAGTCCTCATCGTAGTTGCCAGAGCAACTTATCTGAAACACTCCTCAAACTTCGCATAAAATAGCGCCTACAGCTTCTCCAAGGACAAGCACAAAAATGAGAACGCTTGCACCCACATAACTCCAAACCGGCGGCACGGGAGACTCTTCGGGCAGCCAGAGAAGCCGCCTCTAGCCACCATTCCCGAACTTGAAAAGCTGTGAGAATCATCTCTCACGGAAAGAAATTAGTCGCCAAGCAAGACTCGGCGCCTCTAAAGTTAACCGGCGGAAAAAGCTCTAAAGTTAGAGACTATTTGTAATTCATTAAACATAAATGTTTCTTATAAATTACGAATTTTTTATATTCCTAAGGTTTGAAAAGAGAACACACAAAATTAATCCAATTATGTGAGTAATGGAGTCATTGATGTTGATGAATGATAACTAAGGCAATAAGGTTTATTTATTTTGTTCTATACAGTGATTCCGTAGTGAATATGCGTGATATTGTGTTGGAAAGATTAACGAGGATAGGGTCTCAAGTGTAAGGATCCTTGGTTGATGAAACAAAAATACGATTCAATCTCTTAAGAATGTAATGTCGAATTACTAAGACGCTGAAGAAAGCTTATTAATGTGCATGGAAGCCTGTTCGGTTAAGTGATTTGGTTTATTCACTACAAGAGGAACTGTTTTTTAGCCACTAGTCACCGAATTTCAGTCAGTGGTGAAGAAAAGGCGACGGTTAGCCACCGATAAGTGACCAAAATGAAAATGCACAAATGGTGACAATTCGGTTGCTAAGCAGCTACTAATATTGGCAGTAACCTAACAGTAACTAAATAGGGACTAATTAGCTACCAAAAACATTGAAGCCAATAATTTTCTAGAATTTATTTATTTATTAATATGGATTTCAAATTTTAGTTGCAAAATTAGTAGCTATTTCGAATTTAAACTAAACCGCGACCGGTGACTATAACAGTGATTACATTTTACTGTCAACGGATCTATTTGTGATCATTAGTGGCCACTGTTTAGGTGGTGATTATCAGTGGCGAACTACAACAGTTCTATTTGTGACCGTTAGTGAAAATGCATGATTAAGTGGCTTTAGCTCAATTGGAAAAGAACCTTAAAAGACTCTTAGAAGTCACATGATCGAATGCGTTTGATGACATAATGTAAAACATTATTTCAACCATAAATCAAACTAGAAGCGCAACAAAACCAACCTTGCGCTTAACCCCTAGACTTAAGCAACCATTGTTTTTTTTTTTTTTTACTTAAAACAGTTTTACTGAAAGGCCTTTTACATAATTTCTCCAAAAAAAAATTATATATCTTGAATTTGAGGGATTATGTGAGAGACTCTCCGTTAGAGATATTAAATATCAAATCTAAACACTATCTTTTTTTTGATAAAGAAAATCTAAACACTATCGGTGAATTCTTTTACAAACAGTGAAGCTATTTGATGATGCATAAAGTCGAAGATATCACCACGTTGAGAGCTGATCGGCTACAGCAGAGAGCTAAAACGACTAATCACCTACGAAATAAGAAAAAAAAAAAATCTAAGAAAAGCATAATACGTGTCCACATAGTTTAATAACCAAAATCAGTATGCATCATACAGACTGTTGTCTTATCTTCTCTACGTTGACTTTTTAAAATAAAACTTTAGTGGCTCAAAAAATACGTAGTTGACTTATTTACAAATGTAGTTCATACTTTTTAGAACATTTTAAAATATGAATTTGGATGGATAGGGATCAGCTATCTTAAACTTTCAGAATATTTGGATTCGAGTTAGCCAATCGTGAAAATAACTATTTGGGTCGTCATTGCGAATCACGTTCAAAAGACAACGTTCGGACATGTATACCAGATCAGATGAGGTGGCATTTGGCAGAGTGATACTTTCAAGAGCTTCAGAAAACACGGATGATCCTTCCAAAAATGTATGGAACATAAGAATGCATGTTATGAGAGACAAATTGTCATATCCCAAAATGAAAAACATGGTGTTAAGTTTACTTTTCATCCAACCTAAAACCAATAAGCAATAATGGAGAGGTCTCCATGTTCAAGGTCTCTCCCAAGTTCCGATGTGGAACTATCTTACACACACTCTCTATAGATAAATTCCCGTTAACCTCTAATATCTCAATACATGGTCAAGTCAATCTTGGAACAGCAAATGAAAGATCTTTTCATAATCATCTTCAATGCCCAAACCAAAACCACGGAAGCAATTGTACCTCAACAACCTCTAAAGAACGGTGAGTAAAGTAAAACATTATTCCACATTTCAAATTGACGATAACAACTAAAAAAGATAACACAAAAGATACGATATATCTTTTATTGAACTTTTAGTTAAGATACGATATGTGTATTAGTTTATGAGAAAATTCAGATGACATCTTCTGCAAAATATTTTCCATCATGTACGCTCACCGAAAGATAAGAAATAGGTGACTGTATTCCAATAGGACAAAAACATACTATTTTGCTTACTCCATAAACGCGTGCGATTTGTTTTCATGCAATAAATCAACTTTATTATTTTTTTAATTTTTCCATAAATTTTTAGTCCCGAAAAGGAATCTGACATCCGAATTTTTAAGGCAAAGTCGTACGTGCGTGGAGAATCTTATTATGGATTCTCAACAACCAAGTGAGGCCTTTCATTCTAACCTGTCTCACACTCCCATCTACTCAAACGCGGGTACTTGCTTCTCAATATCGACAACTATATTTTAACCAGGAAAACAATAGAAAATAATAATAGTTACAAAGGATTATTCCTCATAATGTAGTAATGTAGATTCAACATATATGCTTACGTTTTTTTATGTGCTTTCCAAATGACGGAGTGATTGATATCCAAATGTAGTAATGATGTTTTTGATATGAAAATGTAGTTTTTGTGGAGTTATAGTATTAAAAGTCTAAATAGGTTAAAAATTGCGTTTAGGAGCAAACACACAAGATTTATACTTCAAACCGCTTCACGCCCTTGCATCAACTTTACAAACCATGGAAACTAAGCAAAACTCGAAAGATCTCAACCAAATTTCGCAATGCGTCCCTTTGATGAGTTAACTTTCCAACGCGCTTGTAATGAATCAATCTGGTCATGTAGATTGGAAGATATAAATGTTTTAATGAAAATGGGTCCAAGAGCCAAATCCGGACTACCACGTCCCACATCGCCCCTCAGCTTTTGAATATCCTCACCAACAGCCAGTTTCAAATCAAATCTGTAAACCATCTTTTACTATCATATTAAAATCTGTGTAAGCTGAAAACCCGTTTGTACTTTGTAACCACCTGTTTTTAGCTAGTTTGCTTCTTTGATCATAGAACTTTCATGAATCATTTTCAACCGTGAGTTACCAAACCTTTAAATTCTCTGTTTATGAGCTAAACACCTGAGACAATCTCCCCGAACATTGTCAACATTAAGCAAATGATTAAAAGAAATTATCAAATTACCACAACAAGGTTTCACTTAAATAGGATTCTCATTCAAATCGAGACGATGAATAAAACAATTGATCAAATGAAACTTCGTTTTTGTTTAACTGAAGGTTAAATGGTCATGTGGTTCAATGAAAAATGTTAGGGAAGAAAATTTTAAGCTTGTAAGCAAAGCTATGAGAGGAAGAAAAAAAGAATTTCTCATATATTTTTATTTTAGGTTTCTTCTCAGCCATGAAATAAAAAGCCCAGTAAGGGCCCAATAGTTCTCAATTATCAAATTCTAGAAATCAATTGTTCATTTGCTTTTGCCAAGAGAATGAGAAAACAAACTCCGTTCATTTTCTTCTGTATACCACCGGAGAAGAAAACATCTTTCCAAGGGAGACTTTGGTTAAAAACAAGAGGCCGTGGAAGGATCAAAAAATCAAAACCCAAACTGATTCTCTAAGAATCGAGAGAAAAAAGAGAGAGCAATCGAAAACTCCCTGACGATGGTGTTAGGGCTGTCGTAATTCGTTGAGACGAAACAATGGGAGGCGAAGATTCTGAAAGAGATAAAGATGATAGATGGAAACCTCCGCCGGAGAAGACGGGTTTAAAGCTTTGGGGAATCCTCGCGTTTACTGTAATCGGCGCAACCGCCACCACTTTCGCCGTAAGTATAATTTTGAAATTCTCTTGTCTACGCTCATCAGTTGTCAATTTCCATAGCTCCTTTACTCTTTCCGAGATCGATATTCGTGTGTAATTTCGTTTAATGTTAGTCAAATTGTGAATTATGATTGTCAATTGGATGGTTAGTACAGAAATAGCTTTCATTTCTGATTTTCTGTGCTTTCATTGTGACTGAAAAAGGTTTAGGCTTTTATTCGTAACATCACGAAATGGTGGATTGGAATTTGTGGAATGATCAAGCAAGAAAAACTGATTCCTTTGTTATTTTTCATGTGTGTTTTTTCCGTCAAATTATCGAATTATGATCATGAATTGGAAGCTTAGTGTGAAAATAGATTTCATTTCTAGTGTTCTGTTCGTTTTCATTGTGACTGATATAAAGTGACATTGTCGGTAGTTACTCTGTGGACAAGTTTAGGCTCTGATTGGTAACACTGTGAAATGGCGGAGTAAAGCAAGAAAGCATAACTTTACAAGCAAAACTGATTCCTTTAATATTTTTTCATGTTGTTTTATTCGAGTCAGGGTTTGTTTATCTTTTAGGTAATCTGTTCGTAAAGAATTCGAATTATGATGGTGAAAATTGGAAAGCTTAGTGTGAAAAATCAGCTTTTTACCCTTTCCAAATTCGCAATTTTATAGCGTTCTTGTAACTAATAGAGTGACATCCTCAATTGTTTCTGTAAAAATTCTTAGGCTTTGATTTTCTGTAAAACTGATTCCTTTATTACTTTTCATGTTTTTTTTCCTCTTCGTATCAGGCTTTGTTTATGGTTAGGTTACCTGTTTTGCTTTTGTCAAATTATCGATTGTGGATTGCACACTTCGTGTGAAAGTTGCTTTCATTTCCGATTTTCTTTGATAAGTTGGCGATTTTTATCATTCGTATTCATTTTTGACTTTTTCAATGTTATTCTCAGTAGTTATTGTATGGAAAAGTTGAGGCTCTGATTGGTAACAGTGCGAAATGATTGAGCAAGAAAAACATAACTCTACTAGGCAACTTATTTTCTCTGTTATTTGTCATGAATGAAACTTAAACGCAGCGCCAACAAAAAAAGTGATTTGTGAAAACCTGTAGAACTACTGAATCATTCTACTATTTTGTCATCTGCGACTGCAAGGTTAAGGATAGATAATTCTTAAACCGTTAATCTAGTCTTTTTTGGTTTGGTTAAATCTCTCACGGACTGTAGTATCTGATACTTTTATTATTTGGTAGGTTCATCAGCTGCGAAGAACTTTTGATTGGGTGTATACACAGGTGAATAAAACCAACCTTTTCTTTGGAGATAGTATAGTTTTTTTTAGTTCCCAATTAAGATTATCATATAGATATTCAAGAAATCTTGATACTTTCACTAGTACATTCTTAATTTATGTAAGCATTAGTATCTAAAAGCCATCAGCATTTGTGACTAATATCTAGATGTTCTTCAGCCTTTTGCTTTAACATTCACTGGATTAGCTAAGCTCTCAACTTTTGTAATTTTGTCATTAAAGGTAGGTAGAGCACAGTCAGCGCGGAATGGAACCAGAGGCGGTTCTTTCCGAACATCTTATCAGGAGGAATCATGGAGAAGGTACAACAAAAGGATGCAAGAGGAGTATGAAGAAGAGCTTGAGAGAGTGGTAAGTCTAATTGACCTGTTATGTGAGTGTTGAACTCTCTTGAAAATGCGTTAAGATGTTTTTGATACTCTCTTATAGGAACGGATTAGGCGGATGCAAAGCGTTTTCAACAGAGAGAGGAATAAATTTCGTAGGGGCTTTGAGAACTGGAAAGAAAATGATCCAAGTGCAAACCAATACAGTCAGCAGTTTCAGCGGAATGATTGGTATTGGAAAACTGAATCCACGTACAGAAACCAAAGGACTAATCACAACCAGGAGCCTCCGAAACAGACTAGAGTCTATCCATTATCACACCATTACTCGGTTCTTGGACTCAGCAGGTAATGAAATGAAGACACCTTTACACTACGTTAATAATCCGTGGCTCGGATGACATTGATAGCCACTAGAATAGTACTATCAAGTGGGAGGGAGAGAACACATCAGGGGCCGTTGGATCATTGTATTGTTTTGGAGCGTTAGGGTTTTGGGATAGCTGGAAGTGAAATTTGATTCACTTTCAAGTTGTTCTTGCTTCTGGTTCTGTTTCTTCTTATTCTGATTCTAGCTCAATCAAGAAACAGTTTGATTCTCGTTTTTTCACAACTCAGATTCTTGTGTTGCAGGTCCAGGGCAACACCATACACAGAAGCTGAGATTAAGGTAACTTCCATGGCAAGAATTTCCCTGATGCAGTAATATTGACACTTTTATTGTTTGTGTAAGATAGTTATGTTTTGATTTCGGATTTGTTAAACATTTCAGAAAGCATTCAGGGAAAAGGCGATGGAATTCCATCCGGACCAAAATCAAGATAACAAAGGTAACGTTAATGTAGACTTCTATGCAGATTCTGCCTCACTCATCTTAACCATTGTTTTATCTAACCGGGTGAGATGTGTTTGATTGACGATTGTTGCAGATGTAGCTGAAGCAAAGTTCAAAGAGGTTTTACTTTCATATGAAGCTATAAAAGAGGAAAGAAAAGAGGTGTGATTTTTTAGTTAAAGAGAGAGAGAGAGAGAGAGAACAATCGTTTTAAATTTTACTATACCGTCTACGAATGTCGATAAAATGAAACTGGTTCCCTCCGGTGCCTCCGCATTATAGCTTAATTTAATTGTCTTTTGGTTTGTTTTTACACTCGGTTCTTTGTTGTAATATGTAACCAAACAAGTCCCCAGCTTAAATAAGTTGAAAACAGGGGAATTATACAGAAAAGGAGAATTTTTGGGACAGATGGTCCGTAGTAGTAGTTCTCACAATCTATTAAAAGCGTATAAAATTTAAGCTGAAATCTCGTATCATAATCTAATCTTAACCAAATTTATGAGTATTTTGAGGCTAAGATCAAAAGCTGTGTTAAGGTATGGAAATGTGTAACGTAATTTTTCATTTGGAGAAAGTTAGTTTCGGAGATACTTGTGCTAAATTTATCAAAGCTCTCAATTGATTCCAGCAATTGCAAAACTTTTGAGTTGACGGTTATGAAATAGAAACTCCACTGAAAAATCTTTAAGGAACCTCACAACCTCAACTTTTTGGTTTCCAACTCTGCTTTTAAAATTTGGTTTATCCCATGTTCAAAAATTTGCTAGGCATTAGTAAGACGTTTGAGGTATGTTTAGTGTTTAATCAATTAAGCGTACATAAATCGAGGATTAGGTAAAACCGTCGGTCGGCCGTAAAGCCCTTATCTCACAGGAACCTTCTATGCCAGCATGAAGTTTCCCCAAGAGTATCCAATCAAACCTCCGAGTTAAATTTTCATATGAACTCCTACTCTTGTGCAATGACTACTTATATCTATGCTTAAATCTATCACGTTTTCCGATATTTTATGTCACATTCAAAACCAAGGTGTACCACCCAAATATCTCTGACACACAATCTCTCAATCTCGACATGCTGAAGGGAGGAGGATGGACTCCTGGTTATACCATTCCTGATGTATGGCTTTGCATTCTCTATTCTCTACCATTTCACTATAATATTCACAGTAAAAAAAATTATATTAGTGCAACTTTCTTGTTTGTTGGAAATAGGTCCTCATGACTCTTTGGGGAATGCTCTTGACCCCAGATTTGAGGATTCTGATAAGATTAACGATTCTTATCTCTGCTTGTTTATGACGTTTGTTTTGGTGGCTTAGATGGAAGTCTAGATTTGCAATTGACCACAAATTACTGTCTAGATCTGAAATCACCCCGACACACCTATCCACATGACTTTTTACACCGCTTCGTCATTCTTTATATACTTATTCCCGTATACTCGGTTTAAGGAACCTCACAACCTTAACTTTTTGGTTTCCAACTCTGCTTTTAAAATTTGGTTTATCCCATGTTCAAAAATTTGCTAGGCGTTAACAAGACGTTTGAGGTATGTTTACTGGTTAATTAATCAATTAAACGTACATAAATCGAGGATTAGGTAAAACCGTCGGTCGGCCGTACCTTTGAAAACAGTAAAAAATTATCCGTTTTTGTAGGATTGTCAATGTAATCGTTTTCACAATTGGTAATAGAATAATAAATCAATGTTAAAAAGAAAATCGAATATTTGCTTTAGTTAACTATTTAATTTTAAGTTTATGTATTAGCTATAGTAAAAACAAAACAATAAGAACAACATAGTTTCGTACAGTGAATAGGTTTTAATAGTGTATATAACCCGAGTTTGATATCCTAATATCAAAATTTTAAAGTTAATTATTATTATTCTTCTTTGTCGAATTTATTCAAAATATTTTTTAAACAGAAACTAAACTAATCATAAAAAGTGAAATGGAAATAAAAACAAAATGTGAATCACATTTGCCTCTTACTTCCTCCGAGCGAGATCTCCCATCAACTCTTTCGTGGACCTCCTCTGTTCTCTTCTATTTAAACTCCGATTACTCTCGTTTCTACTGTCGTCAATTTCTCCAGTACGGCGATATCACATAATACAAATATAAAATTGTATTTGTGATACTTGATATAGTTTATAGATATTTTCCAAAATTATTCTACTAATGGTGTATTTCAAGAAATTCACCAAAAAATGGTCAGACCATGTATAACACAGTTCTTGCTATATGATCGTCAAGGTCTCGCTTCATTTGGCTAGCTCGATAATCTTGAAAAAATATTAGTTGTTTTGAAGAATGTACAAATAATTTTGTATATATTTATGATCCGTTTATGTTTATTCTTCTATTGTATTTTATTATAGACGGTAGAGAAACGGTTGAATTTTAACTTTTTAATAATTATGATTTTAACTATATCTTATCCTTTTTGTCAAAATATTATTATACGATGTGCATAACATATGACTTAAAAAGGCATTTCCAATGTATTACCTTATATTTTACTCTAAAATGAAAAAAAAAAATCTCAAAATAAAGTTAAGTTTTGCTCCAATATATTGCTTTTGAAAAACTTTTTATTAGTTACTAAAATTACATTGTATATTTATATATATTAAAAATTGCCTCGTAATTTTGTTTTCTTTTCACGATTTGTTATAATTATTTAAATAAATTATTAAAATATTAATAATACATCACAAGACTAAGAATAACAACACAAACTGGAATTTATCTTTAATTAGAGCCATTTGAATATTTTTCTCATAAATGATCAACTAAACCCGTAATAGTTGTTTTAATAAATTTCTTTTTGATGTGATATCTAATAAAATTATTTTTCCTTTCTTTTGAAATTTATTATTAGCTTAAATAATTATATTTCCTATTAAATATCTGCTATTGTATTTTAGAGTAAAAATAAACATCAAAATAATCAATTATATAGCTTACACTGAAATAATTTAAAATTTAAAATACTTTAATACAAATTAAAAACTTCAACTCCAAAATGGAATTAAAAATGGGATCATCCTCAATTTGGAAAAAAATATGGCATTTTGCTATTTTGAAGTTGAAAATAGAATTGAGTTAAAGAAAAATTGACTCCAGAATAATAATAAAAATGAATATAGGGCTACAATAAAGATGAATATAGGGCTGAATTGGAGATGTAATCTGATACTATTTGGAAGGTCTCGTTAGAATACAACCACAATCAAAATCCACTCAACAATTTATTAACTCACTGATAACATCATGAGGTCAAAAATCGCTAAAGAAATCTAGGATAATTTATAGATTTATGGATAAAGATCACATTAAGTTGCTAATAACGTATGTGAAGTTATGAAAGATTGATGAGAGAGAGTTAAACATGAAAAAAACCAATAGAAAAAACAAAAGACGCTATTTTAGGAGGCAAATGTCTAAATGAACGGTGTGACAAGAGACTTGGTCTTTTATTTCTTTCTGGCCCACTCATTATGATTTTAATCTCAGTAAAAAACAGAAAATCCATATCTCAAATCCATTTTTCTATTTTTGCTTCCTTCTTTTTTCAAGGTGTCATTGCAGATACTGTTCAAAATTACGGATATTTTCTATTTAGCTTTTTACTACTTTCCTCTGTTTCGCGTGTGATCATTAACTCGAGATGAATCCTAGGATAATCCTAGTTAATATCACACGCGGAATCCTCTAAGATCCAAAGTGTATATTGTATCAACATTTGGGAGATTTTGAAGGATTTATGTGGAGTTTTTGGAAGAAGAAGAAGAAGGAGAAAGGCCAAAAGATTTGGTAAAGACAACTTTTCCGTTTCTTTGTTGTTTATGTCCAAACAAGGCTTTTCAATCATTTGATCCCTTTCCTTATTTTTCAAGTGCTCTAAATTGATCTGGGAAATCTACAAATTCTTGGTGTTTCGACGTCACTTTTTCTTTTTAGTATTTTAAAAACCAATCGTCGTGGTCGGAAAAAGAGAATCTCAAAAACAATTTGACCATTGGGTGTCGTTTCTCTCAATATATTCTTCTGGGTTTTTTTTTTTTTGTATATTCTTCTTCAAAAAAAGACGTGTTGAGCTGTAAACATTTTCTTTTTCTCTCTCTTGATTTTCTCTGTCTTTTTAAATTTTCTTCAATGTTTCACATTTTCCTTGGAAAATTGTGAATTTCGAGTCTCACATTTCTCTCTCGGGAACAGAGTTTATTTTATTTATTTTTCTTTCTCTCTTCATTACTTCTTCTTCTTCCACAGTGAAACACGCGTCTCTGCTTTCATCTTCTTGCTGTCAAATGAAATCCGATTTGTAGCTTTTCACATCTCTCTCACTCTCTCTCTAGACAAAAATGGCACCGAAGTATGAATGGTGGGCCAAAGGAAACAACAACCGGAAAGGCACTCCGGTCGTCGTCAAAATGGAAAACCCTAACAACTGGTCAATGGTGGAGCTCCAGTCACCGTCCGAGCAAGACTTCCTCGTCGAAGGCCGCCGTGAGAAATCTCGCAACAAGAACGCGAGACAGCTCACATGGGTCCTCCTCCTCAAAGCTCACCGCGCCGCCGGCTGTCTCACTTCCCTCGGCTCAGCATTAATCGCTCTCGGCACCGCCGTACGCCGTCGCATCGCCGCCGGCCGTACAGACACCGAAACCTCCTCCTCCTCCTCTTCCTCCTCCTCTCTAACCATCCCCAAACAGAAACCGAGATTCCTCTACTCGTGCCTAAAGCTGTTCCTATGGCTTTCCTTAACGCTTCTAGCTTTCGAAGCCGCTGCGTACTTCAAAGGATGGCATTTCGAAACGCCGAAGCTTCAGCTTCAGTTTATCTTCACAATGTCTCCTTTCGCCACCAAAGCCTTGTTCGATTGGGTTTACACTCACTGGGTCCTGCTCCGCGTCGAGTATCTCGCTCCGCCGCTTCAGTTCCTCGCTAATGCTTGCATCGTCCTCTTCCTCATCCAGAGCCTCGACAGACTCGTCCTCTGCTTGGGCTGTTTCTGGATCCGCTTCAGAAAAATCAAACCCGTCCCTAAATCATCACCGTCGGATCTCGAATCCGGCGACAATGGCCAATTCCTCCCAATGGTTCTTGTTCAAATCCCAATGTGTAACGAAAAAGAGGTAAAATTAAAATAAAA